CCCGCTAATCCTCCGAATGCATTCAAGTGCTTCCATCTATACCTCCTGGACTACACAAACAAGCACCAGCCGCAATACTTACAGGGCTCCAATTCACACGCAGGCTTTTTGCTTTCAAAAACTTCTATCGGCCTCTATTCAAATCCCATGAGCTCATCATACGCAAGGCAGCAGCCTCGGCAAACAGACCTCACGATGCCCGATGAAAATGAACCCAGCCCTGCTCGGCTTGAAGACGTAACCATTCCAAGTCCTGCACGGATGGGATGCAGCACTAGCCCCGATCCGAAGGCGCTGAGCAGTGGCAGGGACCCGGTAACGCCCTCACCAACGAGGGCAGCACTGGATTCCGACGCAATCCGGCCAGCCGCAGACCTGCCTACAGTGTCCTCGGCCAGGATTCATGCTCAGCCGATGCTGTTGCCGAGTCCGATCCCGCTTGGGACCTCTAGATCACCCTCCATCACTGTGACCGATTGGGACGCATATTCTCGCCGAAACGCCGCAGCTCGTATCTTGACATTGCAGTTAATCGGTTGTGTGGACAACGATGACAAATTGCGTGATGAAGTTGCCTCCTGGTACCAAGAGTAAGTCCGAGACTACAAAATTGACTCCAAGCTCAAATGCTGACCAAGTTCCCAGATTTCGATTTCAGATATGGTCTCCACTGGCATCGATGATTGGTATTAACTGGAGACAGGTGGAGCAACTCTGTTGGCAGATGGGGAAGGAGGAAATTGTCCGGCGCGCTACGAAGCGGGTGTAGACCATGATATTTCAAGTTTTGTTACGGACTTGAATTTCGAGGATGATACAACAACATTTATTTTGTCGCTGTAGAGTTAAAAGAGCGCGAGAAAGGCACTCTTATGGTGGATCTAGAGTACTGTACATTGAATGTGTCAAATTCTCTTATTAGACCTTTTGTAGAAGTAAGTCCTTCTCACACAGTCCAGCAGAAATCTCAACGGGGCATGTTATCTCTGCCACAATGCTGTAACCCTGGAATACTGCGAAGCCCAACATGATGTCGCTGAGAATATGTTCCCGCGCGACGACACGACGGTTCGCGTGGAGCACGCCAGGAAGCGGGCCATGTAAGTTCACGTATGTCGGGCAACAAATCGGGCCGCATGTTCCCCGACAGTTGGCTGGCTCCGCATTCCGGCAACTGGCGTGGTCGGAGGGTTTGGTACCGGGCCTGTCTGCGGCGAAGGGCTGTGTGGTACTCGCAGATCATCAGAGCGGGTATCTGAAAGCTATGCAGCTCGCGCTCGAACCGACGGGATCGCGACGTTTGGCGTGACTGATGCGAGATGCTTCTATATTCGGACACGTAGGTGAGAGGAGCTTTTGCATTTCTCACAGAACAAAGGACACGGTAGCGGGCCCCGAAAGGAGTCTGTATGTGTCCCATGATCCTCAGATACTGTAGGTGCGGCACAACAGGTGTTTCCAGCTGTACTGTTTCCATGACACTCGACAAGGTCTCCATGACAAAAGCTCCTTCAAGGTAGACGTGCATGCCTGCAAGATTATGAGGCTGCCCAAACTATGAGGTCCGCTACTTTGTTGATGTACGAATTGCCTTGGGGCTGACGCAAGGGCATCCTTCTAAGATGTAATTCTACAGCATACGTTTGCCAAAGATGCGCTGCAACCTCTCATGAGTCAAACACTAATTGATTGTGTATTGCCCCCCGGTAGTATGACTTGCCTGCATACACAGGCGGTCCAGCCGTTCTGACCCGTAGTGGAGACTTTCGGGTATATGGTTATTCCGCGATTAGTGGGAGCGCCCGGAGTACATGGGCATGCCGAATCGGGGTAGGGTATTACGTGCGATACGCTTTTCCTGCTACAGACTAGCGTGTCTCCCGCGTTCGGTCTACGGTGGGTTGTGGCAACCGATGGCGGATTTCACCTACTCGCTGCAACCCTAAAGAGAAGATCTTGTCAGATTGGGTTTGTGATTATGCCTGATAAGAGTATTAGATCAATCATACATACCGCGCCTTCATAACAAAGGTACCTATAAAGTATGGCATTGCCATGTATTGATCGCTTTGTTCGTTCCTGCAGAGTTCCAGTCAGAAACTGCCCGACATGACGGAAAGAAACAGTACCATCCCTGGAGTACGCAATGTCTCCCGTCGTCGAGAGACCATATTCCGGAAATGCCATGAGCTCAGCAAATTTGGAGTCGGTGTTTGGGTCGTGATCTGCACCGGGGCGCGCGACACAATGTTCAAATCATCCAACACTGCGCTTTTCGAACAGCTGGACCGCCAAATGGTATGTATGTCGATAGCGCTGGAGATACAGTCTGTATTATAGTTGATGCAGTGCTGATCTGCCTTATTGCAGATCCGGGCCTCCCGCCGGCCAGTATTGAAGTACAGCAGTGACTATGATCGGCTACCGCGCGGAAACCGACCACTGCGATTGATTGACCGCCTCAGGTAGCGAAGCAGCATACCATATGGAGGCTGGTACAGTCTGCAGCATCGTCTTAGCCCGGGCTAGGAAGACGTGTGCTTCACTCCCATCATTAAGCGGGAACAAGCGTCCAAAGTTGGCAGAATGGGGTTTCCGCTGTGACACTGGCGATGTGCGAGCGAAGTCATCCAAGGACTAGTCTTGTCTCGTTTTTTTTTCGGAACGTTGTACATACTGTAGTTCTTTCTTTGAAGACGTCTAAGCAAACTGGAGGATGACTGACTGATCTCCACAAATGGCACAGATAATCAGGCACGTTATATGTACATAGAGAAGGACCCTTAATTATGGTGACACATGCCGGTACAGTATTGATTTTGATCGCCAGAGCTGGGCAAATATGGATTAGTAACCAGCGAATGTTCCTTGGCCCTGATAAACCCATGCCATTCGCGTATTATGTGATTAATCTGCAAGCGGGAGCTGCGAGTATCTTTCGTGCCACGACGGATCATAACCAGGAGTAATGGTGACCGAGGACCAACTACTGCATCTATGCTTCCGTAAACTAATCAGTTCAGGCGAAATTCTTTGCCTGTCAAAGTCAAGCTTTCGAAATAGCCAATGCCCGCCGTAATCGGCATAAAATTTAGCATAGAATATCCTTCCCCCACGTTCCACATCACAAGACAACCAGATTGACTCTTTTCGAGAATATGTACTGATTTCCTGATACCAGCGCAACCCAAGCTAGGATTTGATTAGGCGGGGATCGAACGCGGCGAGATTACGAGCAGGTCGTTACAGATCGTTAATCATGATAAGGCAATATCAAATAGCACTAGGCGATTGTGAAGCGATCGAGTTTACTATGAATTGGCTGGTACGTTCTATGTTATTTCGGAGCAAATTGCTCAGGTCAATGACATAGCCCCTTGACCCTATCATTTCATGTTGGGTAGGTACTGGCTGTTTAGACCTTTTTTTTTTTTTTTTTCTTCTTCTTCTTCTTCCCTCACAATTCAAGGGGTAAGCTTGGTAAATGATGGGTAGATCCAATTGTCCACCACAGGTGATTAAGGAAATCTACAGCTTCAAGGAGATTTACCCTGAGGATAGGACACATCGATATGATCCGAAGCAGAATATGCTCCTCGCCCTTCAATCCTACCCAGATTACACCAGCAATGTGATGCTTTATAAGGCAAGGTCCAGAAGCTGATGAGAGGCGTCCTCGCAAGATCCACGCTTTTCGGAGGGCTAATTAACTGCCTGGCGCCTGGTTGGGAGGTATAAAATCAACATTTAAACCCGTCACTGGTCTTCGGAATAGGTCTCTAAAACCCCTACAGATTGCCGGTTGCTCATCCAATACATACATGTACCTTCAGTCTTTCAGAATGCCCAATTTGAGTCAGATTTCACGGGAGGTCTTTGATCTCATAACGGCATTACTTAGCCCAAATTCCACCAAGATGCTGGCAGATGCCCTTCTATTCAGTGAAAGCCAAGAAAATATACTTTGGAGAGCGATTTTCAAGAGCGATGGATGGATTAATAAAGCTTTCGAGCTAGGGGCCTGCCCTGTTCTTGTGGGACCAAAATTACATGAGATCGGGAGGCCCAGCTACAGAGGCTCTCATCGACATCACATCCTTTTATCGACGAACGATGATGCAGGCGACCTTCAATATTTCCAAGATCTTCTTTTTAAGTCTCTACGAGAAGGTCATCGTTATGAGCCAACTGAATTCAAAATTATCCTCCCAGAAATCACTTTCGTCAGCCCAAACAAGCGGGAGATGAAGATCCCAGAGATAGCGCTCTATGTGCATGACGCCATCTTGCCTCAAGAGACCCTCGTTCTTTCGGGGAGAACTATTCGGAAACTCTTTGAGAAAAGCGCTCTACGGACACAGTACTCTTTTGCAAGCCAAAAAAAGATCTGCACTGTACAAAGCCCAGCCATTTACGGTGTGGGAGGGAGTATTTCAAAACCCGAGCAGCTTCTCCCGATATGTGGCATGCACCTCGTTTGTCGCGGAAAGGAGTGGCTGACAGTTTTGACAGTACCAAAATGTCCTTCTGTGTCGCCGGTTACCAATGATAGTCATCTCCGGAGAGGTCGTATCATAGGTTGGGAAAAGAAAAGGCGGTGATCGTGTTGGACGTTTCATAGAGAGTGAATCAGACCACTAACCTTTGACTTATCATAAAGTGTTAGCCTTGGATTTCTTGCTGTAATATACTATTATGTACAGTACCAACCCGTAACTGTCCTTTTGAAGCTTTGGCTTTGCGTTACCCCTCACTCGTTCACGGATAACGTTGTTCTGGTTCTTCCTTCGCTTTATGCTCAAATTGTCGCTAGAATAATAAGTCAAGCGTCGCTTGTTAAGACGGACAATCACTCTTCCGTCAATAATGTAACCACTGTAGCGTGATATGTCCTACAATTATTCATTGGTTATTCCAAAAGCATGGCTACTGCACAGCGCATTTGCACGTTGCAAACGTTGCACGGGTAAAATCTGCCGGTATAGCTCTCCAAGATCTGGTTAGGCTTCGACGAAGGAGCGAGCTCTCCCATTGAGCAAACAGTGCAGGAGTGCGATAATACCACAACCAGTCCCTATGGTCTGTTGGGACCTTATTACCTCCTTCCGTCATCAGCATTGAAAGTCTTGTCTTCTTGGTTATGAGACGTTCCGGATGCTTTATTGACTGGACAGACAAGCAATAAGCCGTAACAAGGTCTTGGTATCATTGCAATCATTTCAGGTTCGTCGATCCTATAGATACCGGTGAATTTAACTGCTCGAGAGAGGGCTAATCGCCAACCCAAGGCTGACATGCTTTCTGGATTGTTTTCTTTACATTGCATTCAGTTGAGAAGTCCCAAAACAACTTGACTTACGCTTACCTAGTGGAGTGAAGCAATTCCCTATAGCACCGTGGGGTGATGACAAGATATATATGGGCAGATCAGCTTAAATTAAGTCGATATATATCGCTTGCCCTGAACCTCAGACTGGGAAGCAGATTTTATGAAGGCGAAGGAGTCGCACTTGGGCTGTGGTCATATACACGAGTCACTGTCATCGGACGGACGGAATAAGCTCAATTGGATGCAGTGCCTTTGAATTGGCACTATTTATCTACTAGCTAGACATGTACCATGGTTAAAGATATCTAATTAAGACTTCCACCACCTAAAGTGAGCGTAATCCATCAAGCCCCATTGTTATTGGACAGGGAGATAAAACTCTTTTGTCTTGTGAGTAATTGGAAATCACATAAATCATATTCCGGTTCTGATGCGGGGTTTCGGTCCCGGTGGGGTTAGATGTTTTCCGAAAAAGGCATGACCCGCTCGACCCCCCTAAGCCTTACACACTCGGACATAGCCGCTGTGACGGAGTTCACACTGCTATAGTAAAGTAGCTAGATTTGTACGGCTAGAAGGAATTTAGATCTCTTGGCCAAACCGCTCTTACACATTTTTGAGTTATGTATTGTTCTCGCTTATTTTCTGATTTCTTCGAAACGAAGGGCCTCAGATGTATGAGCCTATTGGTCTTAGCTATGTATAGTGTAAACTCTTTGTGATCCCTGGATCGTTCAGTAATTGCCTCTTAGTTCGCCACTTGCCTTCAATTTATATAGTCGTATGTCAATTGACAAGCGATTAAATGCCACCCTACGTAGTACATGTCAACACTATATACTGTAATGTTACACCGAGCCATGCTTCCATCTGATGCCAAGCTTCGTCTAGCGTGGACGCGCGTTGGGGTTGGTGAAATCAAAGAGTGGAAGTGGTGATACCGGTTTCCGGATCAGCTGTAAAGCCAATATCTAGAAAGTCCGTTTCAAGTGAGGTACAATACAACTTTCCGTTGGGGTTACGAGAATATGGTTCGTTTGGAAGGGTGGTGTCGTAGTATTAGGAAGATATCAGATACATCTGGCGGCCCAAGTCATACTTCACATGAAAGTGCAATGTGTCTGACAACGCCTTAACAGATCTGTACAAGTTTATGTAGCCTATTTATAGATCAGAAGAACAGGCGCGGTCTGCTCCGCCCCCAAGAGCAGAATTGACAACTCAGGAAACACAGTACAGTAGGTCTGGCATAAGCTGTTTTGCAGGAGGCAGCATCTTTTATATGTACCGAGACATTCGAAATCGGCTTCCGCCCCAAACACTCTTTAATTGCTTAGAAGCCCCACTTGTAGATCTTTAGCGCCTTGGCAGTTATGATGATGTTTTGTATGTTACCAGCACTGTATAATTCTGGAACTTTCTATTTCTTACACTGACATAGAAGTACAATACAGGCAACCAACGTTAACGACAATACGCATATCATCTCTTGCACCACCCATTTCTCACATCTTTTCGCACTCTCGCAAATAAGCAGCTGTTCATATGTTCCAAATGGCTCCCAATCTAGCAGCATCTCAGCATGAGCTCATTCGTGACATGATTTTAAGCAGATCATTGACTACTACTCAAATGGCTGGCGTGGCTGGTTGCAGTGAGCGCAGTATTAGATATATTCGTTCGAACCTGCGACTTTTCGGCAGTGTCAAAGCACCTCCAATCAAAGCCGGCCGACCGCGAATGGTAACCCTGCCTATGCTGGACGCCCTTTGCGAGCATCTCCTTACGAAGCCGGATCTGTATCTAGACGAAATGGCAACTTTCTTATGGCATGAATTCGAGACTGTAGTGACAACCGCCAGTATCAGGAGGGCGCTCAAATCCGTTGGATGGTCTAAAAAAGCAGCTCGTCGGATTGCTGGAGAGCGTAATGCGGACTTGCGGGACTGCTATTTTCATAGCCTGTCTGAATTCCGTTCGTACCACCTTATTTATGTCGATGAGTCGGGATGCGATAAGCGAGTTGGCTTCAGGCGAACGGCCTGGTCCCCTGTTGGAGTAACACCGTTGCAAATCTCTCGGTTTCATCGCGGACAGCGATATCAAATACTGCCAGCGTATGCCGAGGATGGTGTTATGCTTGCCCGTGTGTTCCAGGGATCTACTGATGCATCCATATTCGAAGATTTTGTGGAGCAGCTGCTTCATCATTGCGGGCGGTGGCCGGAGCCCAAATCTGTGCTGATAATGGACAATGCATCATTTCATCATACCGAGCGCGTGGAACAGATGTGCAGCGACGCCGGGGTGAAGTTGCTGTACCTGCCTCCATACTCACCAGACCTCAATCCCATTGAGGAAATGTTTGCAGAGTTGAAGGCCTTCATTAAGCGTAACTGGAAGGTATTTGAAGAGGACCCGAGCTCAATTTCGATGTATATCTAGAGTGGTGCATCGACGTTGTCGGTGCCAGAAAGCTGAGTGCAGAGGGGCATTTTCGTCATGCTGGGATTACTCTGGAACACTGCCCTGCCTCTGAGCTTCGACGGGATCCACCAGTGATCCAACACCCCGCTTTTATGTCGATCAGGACCTCGATGACTAATCGGGACAACCCTGCGTGTCAAGAAGTCAGAGGTATCATTTCAGATAATATGTAATAGCTACGCCCTGATAAAACCTCTCAGAACTCAACTGTAGCTTCGACTTTGAGCTTATCTGGATAACTAGCAAATGATCTTCCTAGGTTTGTCTATAGCGCTTTACGAATATGATGTTGGGAAACTGGCCTTGTTGCTCAATATTAATACACACCACTTCCTCTTTTTGCTTTTTATACGTTCTCGAGACCATGATTGGCCCTCTAACCGCGACAGCCTCCCAGTTACACGTGTCAGATGACCTTTGCAACTCCAACCTCAGATCTGTTTCTTGGAATATCTAATCCTGCAGTTCTAATGCCTCCTCTATCTTCCGACCAAAGTCTCACCACTTTATTGGATTAATATACAAAATGACCTTCACGCACCACGACTATACGGTCGCGTGGATCTGCGCCTTGCCGTTGGAACTAGCAGCAGCGAAGGCCATGCTGGACGACGTTCACCCTCCGCTTCCCCAACCAGAATCCGACCACAATGTCTACACACTTGGGAGAGTTGGCAGCCACAATGTAGTGGTGGCCTGTCTGCCTGGCGGCGTTTATGGGACGATATCCGCTACAAGTGTTGTGTCACATATGGTCTCTACCTTTCGGAATATCAGGTTCGGGTTGATGGTGGGTATTGGAGGTGGAGTCCCGAGCCACAGTGCTGATATTCGCCTTGGTGATGTTGTGGTCAGCAAGCCAACTGCCACTTCAAGTGGTGTTATCCAATATGACCACGGCAAGACACTACGCGGCGGTCGATTCCAGCACATCGGGTCGCTTAATAAACCTCCTCAAGTGCTGTTGAAGGCCGTGTCTCAATTAGAGAGTGATTACATGACCGGGAAAAGGCTGACCAGCGAAATTTTGGACGGTGTGCTGCACAACTGTGATACGATGGGAGAACAGTTTTCGCGACCAAAGGACGACTGGCTATTCCCAGCAACATACAATCATGAGGGTAGCGAACACGACTGTTCGGCGTGTGATCAGGCCCAGTTAGTTAACCGTCCTAAGCGGAGGACTGATGACCCTTGTATTTATTATGGCTTGATTGCTTCCGGAGACCAGGTCATGAAAGATGCCAAGACTCGCGATTCCATTGCTCGGGATCTAGACATACTCTGTTTTGAAATGGAGGCTGCTGGGCTCATGGACGAACTCCCATCACTAGTCATTCGCGGCATTTGTGACTACTGTGATTCGCACAAAAATAAACAGTGGCAAGGATATGCTGCGCTTGCGGCTGCTTCGTACGCTAAGGCACTTCTGTCGGTAATTCCTACTTTTCACCGCAAGGAATCACGTGATCCGAGGAAGCCAGTTTGGATGGTCCCCTTCCGGAGGAACCCACGGTTCGCAGGCCGGGAAGACGAAATCACCAGAATTGAAGAATTGCTTCTGCAACAGAACGGACCTAGCAAAATTGCTATCTGCGGACTAGGCGGTGTTGGAAAGACGCAGATTGCACTTGAACTGGCCTACCGCATGAGAAATCGAGACCCTAAATGCTCGATTTGCTGGATTACATGTACCAGCTATGAAAGCGTGGAACAAGCCTATATGAACATCGCCTCGAAGCTTAAAATGACTGATATAAAACCAGCAGAGGTGAAAGGAAAGGTTAAAGCTTATCTTAGCGAGGAGAGTGCCGGGAAGTGGCTTGTTATCTTTGATAACGCAGATGACATGGGAATGTGGAGCACAAACGATACTACTGATACAGTATTAACAGACTTTCTTCCTGAAAGTGAGCAAGGCCATATTCTCTTCACCACGCGCAGCCGTAAGGTAGCTGTGAAATTAGCGTCTTCCCATGTGATTACAGTCACTGAGCCGAACACAGAAATTTCTATCCAAATTTTCACGAACTCACTGGTTGATAAGACATTGCTTAATGATCGTATTACAGCTCTGAGTCTTCTTGAGCAGCTGGCTTGTCTCCCTCTGGCGATCACCCAGGCGGCAGCGTATATCAATGAAAACAGCATTGGCCTCTCTGACTATCTTCAGCTTCTACGGGACCAGGAGCCACATGTGATTGAACTGCTGAGTGAAGAATTTGGAGATGAAATGCGCTACAAAGACATCCAGAACCCTGTTGCTCTGACTTGGTTTATCTCCTTCCAGCAAATCCAACAATTAAATAAGCTGGCAGCGGACTACCTGTAATTCTTAGCCTGCATCAATCCTCGTGACATTCCACTGTCCTTACTTCCCCAGCCGATCTCGAATAAGGATAAAACCGATGCTCTTGGTCTTCTCAAGGCCTTCTCCTTTATTAGTAAGGGGGGTGGGGACAGTTCTTTAAATCTACACCGACTAGTCCATCTTGCGACTCGGAACTGGATGAGAAAGAACCAACAGCTCAGCCTGCAAATACTGAAAACTGCTGACCGACTGAGTGAAGTCTTCCCAGATAATGACCATGCGAATCGGCAGGCGTGGCGGGAATATCTGCCGCATGCTCTTTCACTAATAGCAGAAGCTGGATTTCGGAAGGAGCAAGAGAAATACATTGATTTGATGCAAAATGTTTGTAGTTGTCTCTACAGTGACGGACGATGGAAGGAAGCGGAGGAGCTGCAAGTGCAAGTGTTAGAGGCACACAAGCGAGTGCTAGGGCCCGAGCACCCTTCTACTCTTATTAGCATGAGCAATCTGGCATCCACCTACAGGAATCAGGGACAATGGAAGAAAGCGGAAGAGCTGGAAGTGCAAGTATTAGAGCTACGCAAGCGAGTACTAGGGCCCGAGCACCCTTCTACTCTTACTATCATGAGTAATCTGGCATCCACCTACAGGAATCAGGGACGATGGAAGGAAGCGGAGGAGCTGGAAGTACAAGTGTTAAAGACACATAAACAAGTACTAGGGCCCGAGCATCCTTCTACTCTTATTAGCATGAACAATCTGGCATCCACCTACAGGAATCAGGGACAATGGAAGGAAACAGAAGAGCTGGAAGTGCAAGTATTAGAGGCACACAAGCGAGTGCTAGGGCCCGAGCATCCTGACACTCTTACTATCATGAGCAATCTGGCATCCACCTACAGGAATCAGGGACGATGGAAGGAAACAGAAGAGCTGGAAGTGCAAGTATTAGAGCTACGCAAGCGAGTGCTAGGGCCCGAGCATCCTTCTACTCTTATTAGCATGAACAATCTGGCATGCACCTATTGGAATCAGGGACAATGGAAGGAAGCGGAAGAGCTGGAAGTGCAAGTGTTAGAGCTACGCAAGCGAGTGCTAGGGCCCGAGCATCCTGATACTCTTACTATCATGAGCAATCTGGCATCCACCTACAGGAATCAGAGACAATGGAAGGAAGCGGAAGAGCTGGAAGTGCAAGTATTAGAGCTACGCAAGCGAGTGCTAGGGCCCGAGCATCCTGACACTCTTACCAGCATGAATAATCTAGCCTTTACATGGAAAAGACGAGGTACGATTAAAAGTGCCCTCGCTCTGATGAAACAGTGTGCAGAGCTCCGCCGCAACCTGCTTGGTCCAGATCACCCAGATACCATATCCTCTTCTGATACTCTCCGTGACTGGGAAACCGCGATAGATTCCCCGATATGGTATAGTCGACAAAACATACTTGCCTTTTCTTTTCTTGCCTTGCCTTGTCTCTACTTTCTTTCGAAGACCCTTTTCAAGAGGAGGGTCTGGGATGCCTGATGTTTATATTGAAGATGTCTTCAATAATAGATAGTGGTCGAACATTCTAGCAGAGTCATTACCCTGGGTAATATGGATACGTTATAGAATGGTTTATGACGTCATGCTGAGGTACAATGGATACCACTGTTCGTTACGTCTCTGTAACATACTTACCGTTATCGGTTAGCGTGCGGGTTTTAGTCTTGGCAGTGGGGCGTTAAGAAAAGAGAACAGTAACACAGGCGGAAGGCGATTCTGAATCTTACAGTATCGGTCCAGCTTGTTGACTTTCTATGAGTCATTTTGTCAGATATTCCATGAGCTGAAGCTCACGAAATAGCTTTTCTAACTAGCTGACCAAAGGACCTGGAATGAGAGAGTAATTTTCTCATCAGAATGTGGTGTATATAATGCGGCCGGAGCTGAGGCGTAGTCTTGTCCACGAACACGACACGTTCCTAGGATATAGGATGTTATCCATCCTCACGGCAGATATAAACTCAGCAGCTGAACAGATTCCTGTCATGGCTCATCCTGTCGGCTGTTATCATTCAGACCATACAGACCACGAGCTCCCTTGCACTACGGTTATGGCGACAAAACCATCGACAGCCCGAAAGGAAGCATATAGATGGCGACGGTGGCTTGACCATCTGAGCGAGTCTCCAAGCTCGACCAACCACGCCATCCAGAGCCGTTACGTTGATATGCTGCTAGAGACGGAGAGAATACCCATACTGCATAATCTGATTGCATCCAGCTGTACCTGGCTTCTCCTAGCGGGATTCTTGGTCTTCCCAGGCACATTTTCTACGCTGCAAGACACCGCGCTGGTTGATGGATTGAAGGGCCGGAGACGGGATAATGAGATGATATCTGATGCTATCGAGAACCCCCCTCTCCTTGGCCTAGCCGTAGCGTCATGCGCCCTCGGTACCGCTGGCTGCGGCTGGCTTTGGTGGAGGTGGCGGTCGAATCTCATCTGGCCGACGCGCCAGATTTTCCTGTAGTGTACCTTCACCTCTACCAGGTTAAAGGCACTAACAGAAACTAGGCCGACCCTCATCCACTCCGTGACGGGCTTAGTCAATACGTTTTTGAACGTATATACAGCACGAAACCGGACCTGGTCCGTGATGGCAATTGCCACAGCAGCGGTGACAGGCGCATTTGCAGTTGCTGCCACTATTCTCCTCGGTATTATCCAGCTTGTGGCTCTGCAACAAATCAAATACGAGCATCAGGTTGCTGTAGCAAAGCATGCAATCCCGGATTACATCCACCCACATGGGATCTGTGAGTGCAGCAATAGGACGTTTGAAGCAGTGACTTCCGATGGAAAATAGTCTTGCTCTATATGACCATGAGCGATCCCCGTCTCACCTTACCTATTGCTTTTTCTCCATAAGAACAGATGCAAGTATACATGGAGTAGGCTCAGATTGAGTCAAGCTCTCTGCCTTGGGACGATGATAAGACTATACCTGTGGTATGTATACATGCGTTACCATGCGTGCTGCTGTAGAGAAGGGAGCACACCTGTTATGGATTTATCATTCACAGCCTGGTTACAGTATACAGACCAATACACAGGATGGCTTTGACCTGGCCTGGAATATAATGCTAAATACACAATTTAAGTACTCGATGAAAGGATGTAAATGGTTACGAGAGCTGAACAGCCAATAAGGTTGTGGCCTTGTGCCGTAGAAGAAGTTCTATAGGTGCTGAATCTACATGCCCGTAATTCATTGCCGTCAGTGATTTACTGTAGAGGTCGCTTGATTGAGCAATCACTCAGGAAGGACTGCTTGAGTGGGGCCACATTCGAGTCACGTAGTACGTGCAACAATATATGGTATATACTCTAATACCGGGTAAGCGTAGCGCCATGGCTAGCATCAGTGTAATCCAGCAGTTGAATTCGCAATGTCTTTCATCTTCACTACAGAGCTATACTGGAATAAGTCGTGCTGGGACTGCCTTGAATCAGAATGTACTTTCACTTCTCAATGCTGGAATTCAACATTTTCCCTAACGATAAGGCAAAACCCCAGGACATCGCTCTAGAAAATTCAGCAATTACTAGAGACAAGCTTCGGGGTAAAGGTGCTAAACAGCTACTTTCATCTGACAGAAGAAATATGGTACTGTAACTTCGTTTGGGATGGCCACTATGCATACACAAAGGATATTTGGGGGTGGAGGAGGGCTATTTCTCCAGACAACACCACGGGATCATAGGAACGGGCGACCGTGACCATACAGACGACTAGCGAGCTGTTAGACCGATCAGTGGTTGTCACATCGGAAGAGTCATAACCTATATATCGCGCGGTTCGTCGATGACAATGCGCTCTTTAATACGAATAGCAGCTATAGCCATCAGCCTAAACATGAGCCTTGTGGTATATCCTAGGGCAGAGTGAGCAATGCGCGCGCTCCTCAGCCAAGTAAGTGATGGAATTGCACATGCAGTAGACACTTCATTCCGAGCGCTTTCAAAAGCGATAAGGAAGGGTGGCCTCGAATGCAAACAATACCAAGGCTAGTAGTACTATCAAGGTGGCGTATGCAATGTGTGACAGCCCTTGCAAAGAGTCCCTTCTAAGGAGTCCCTTGTATGTCTTACTGGATTAGTATAATAAGTCCCATTTCCCCCAGGTTGGGCACTATGTATCCGCCACACCGGGAAGGCCAGCATTTTCGTCCAGCACCATCAAGAGCTCGTTGTGCTCCAAACCTGTATCTACTGGCAATCATGAAAATATTATGGGTGGTATGCAGTAGCATCATCACGTATACTGCCGCCCATATCCAGATGAGCGATCCTTTACCTATCCGTAGCCCGCTGAATACCAACAGTAGTATCAAAGATTATTCCTACACCTCACCCTTATCGGCAACGGGGTCGGACTATCCTTGCAAGGGCTACGCTCGCGATCTCTTCGACTCAGTTGCCGAGTATACAGCCGGACAGGAATATGCAATCACTCTAGCCGGAACCGCAACTCATGGCGGTGGGTCATGCCAGATTTCCTTGTCGTATGACATGGGTGAGACGTTCCGTGTCATCCACTCCATTCTCGGCCATTGCCCGGAACCTCTCCATTATTCCTTTCGAATCCCGGAAGATGCACCGCATGGGCCGGCCCTGCTGGCATGGACCTGGTTTAACAAGATTGGAAACCGGGAAATGTACATGAATTGCGCGCAAGTGACAATTCAGTCTCCTATATCAGATGTCGGGGCGCTGCAGGGAGAGATGCAGCAGGCTTCATGGCTGGAGCGGCCCCCCATCTTCCTCGCCAATATCAACGGCGAGGGGCAGTGTGTCACAATCGAAGGCGAGGAAGTGAGTTTCCCGATGCCGGGTGATAGTGTCGAAGGCACCGTTGCTGGTGGAACTGGGTATACATGCAGCAGCTCAGCTGCCTTTCTAAGCAAGGTTGCCAGCTCGCCTTCTTCGATGGCGTCTTCTATCCCCCTGCCAGCCCTAACTACGACTAGGCCTGGGATCATACCACCAGGAGAAAACACATTGAGCACGCAATCGGCACCCTACACGGTCACCAAGAAGGACTCTATTTCATCCACGATTCCTGCTGATTCTACGGGGTTAAGATACTCGACAGGAACTGGCACTAAGCCCGATATAACTGGGCATGTCTGCACACCTGGAGTAATGCAATGTTCTAGTGATGGTCATTCATTCTTCTTGTGTGATTCGGGAAGGCTTGTGCCAATGGGAGCTGTTGCTGCGGGCACAATCTGCAGGAATGGGGCCATTTTTCCTGCAGGCTGAAAAGGGTAGATTGCTAGTGCGGGTTTCATGTACGGAAAACCTAGGCGGACTACATGTATACTCTCCTTGCTGTTTGTGCTACTATTGATCTTGGCTTTGGATGGTTATCTTGTTTAGATAGCGGTGTTGCGTCTCACTATCACCAGTGAGGGCAGACAAGCGTATGATCCCACTGCAGAAAAAGGTATGCTTAAAATGACTTCTATCCCATATATCAGGGTTTATCACGGTGGTATGTGCTGTACAATGCAGAAGATGGAACCACCAAATATGTAATACTCGCTTGGCTTGACACATCCTGTTCTACTGTAAACGGACACGTGCCTCTTGTTGAAGATAAGACCAAGGGAACCCAAACCATCCAGTCCCGTAGGTGAGAAACAACAACGACTTACGGCTGATAGTAAATACTCGATTGTCGTTCAGTATTATCAGCCATTAACATCACCAGCAATCCGGCCAGGGTGCTGCCGTAATCGATGATGGTATAGTATCAGCTATTATAAAGACAAACACTGCCCTGGTGAGGTACTACTACTGCCAGGCACATTTGTTACATTGTTGACAAAAAGCTTCTTGAAAGACACACTGACGAACAAAGTCATTATCAGAGATGGCTACCGTGACGTCCATGTTTGGTATATTCGTGCTGGTGGCTGGAATGCCACCAAAGCCAAGCAATGATGCTTCCCGGCGCCAGGAGTATCTCCCCGGAGTTACTATCTCTAATTATCTTGCTAAGGATATCTTTGCATGGTCGGTCTCTAACACAACTGGTCCAATGATCGTAATTCCCTACCAGGAACAGTATTTTGAGTCGTGGAGAACCAGGGTGGATGGTGGCGGTATTTCAATCAAACTAGCCACTGAGCCAAATCAACGCAGTGTTCTGCAATTTGAGTATACCAAAATGGACGCGATCATCTATTGGGATGTGTCATACATCGACCTGGACCACGATTCCGATCTTTTCCAACATGATATAACGGTGACGTCAAATGACCCTTCTTGTCCAGTGGTGAGCTGCGCTGCCGGGGTCTATGAGTGTCATGAGGTCTACATGCACCCAGATGACAACTACGCTACGCATGGGTGCGCAGTGCAAACCCATCTTGGATTTTCTATTGGCAGCCGCAGTGATTCATAAGTGAAATACATAGTCTTGCGAGACCGGTCTAATCTTACTTGCGCGGCGTCTGGATACACACATCCCATGAGATATAGGCCACCTAGTCTGTGTTTTCCGTATTCAAAGGGGGTTATCCTGTCACAACATAAATAGCTGACTTTGACATACACCTCTTGGTCTCTAGATCGCGAAACTCCAAAACGTACCTGGAAGGATGTCAGCTAATGGAAGGAGCGCCATAGAGCCCGTGGGAACTGATAGGGTTTGGTAAAAGTCAAGATAGCTTTATAGAGCTATATCATTTTTCAACTTCTAGAACAGCAGACGGTCTATCTATCCAATCACTTAGGCTGACTGAGTGTATGTTTGCGCTACAATAGTGTCAGCTGCTTACACTTTGTCGCACAATACTAGATTAATGACATATGAGTATTCACATCCTTCAAAGCAGCATATGCATTGCAGAAACGGTGAAAACTCCAAGAAGCATGATTTCACGGGCCTCTTTTATCCACCTAAGATAGAGTTTGGTTTTCCATATAACCTTAGCATGGATGAATCCCAATGCTAGGTGTTGCTTATTAGCAGGTAACTCTACCCGCATGAGGCGTCTTCTGATGAACAACTCCCGTGTCGCAACGGATATCGATATGTAAGTTGGGAGACTGAAAAGTGAAGAATATACCAGAAGGGAAGACAGGGAGGCGGGACTGACTAGTATGTGGATAAAACACCCGAAAGAAACGTCTACGGGATAATGGCACGGCAGAACATGATTTTGTCATACCCTTTAATACACACAATGAAGAGAAGACTTTTTGATCAATGGATTACAGTGGAACAACCAGTTACAGTTTCTATCTACCTACATCTTCAGGTTTTCTAAGGTAGAACCAGCCATAGACAAACAGGCCTAGGCAAGGAAAGTGCTCAGCCCTGAAGAAAGAATAATAAACCGGCAATAAAATGGATCCAAACTTTCCCGGAGCTCACAATGAGGATGCCTATCTTTAACTGTTTGAGATGCTATCCCCACCAACATTGAGGCCAAAGATTGTTTGATTATCACATTGATGAGGATTATCACTCAAGCTTGCCGAAAACCAAACCGGCTCCCACGAAGTAACCGGCACCTGATAGGATGAGACGATCCCATTCGCTGTCACAGGGTTCTGGCTCAGCCGGGGCGCGTGGCATGGGTCTTGCGCACCAGACCTGTAGAGCGTGTAGGGTCCGTGGAAGCGAAAGACTACAGTGTCGCCCGGTTGAGCTACAATAAGCGATGGTTCGAACAGCGAGCTACTGCGATTGCCGTCATTGCCGTTTATGGGCATAGCCCCCACATCGACGATGAACAGGTGAATGGTGGCTGTGGTGTCGGTGAAGATAATATCGGCGGTGCTGTTCGGCTGCGGACCGGTTGTCTGCGATGCCGTTAGGCTTGACGAGGATTCGGCATGTTCGGGAAGAGGGGCCGTCGAATTTTTACCAGTCTCGGAATTTGCCTCGTCTAACTGGGATGAGTGTTGCTGTGTTTGAGACTCTGGCGGCCGGGAAGTTGTTTGCGATGTCTGTGACCGCCAGGACGACCCTGTCATCTGATCGACTGCTGATGCTGCAGTGGCTTCCATGGAGGTGGCCGTCGGCTTCGGATTCAGTCCCACATGTGTATCAGGATTGGTTGTTGCCGCAGCACCGGGGTGGTTGGTTAACCCTACAGGGCTTTGTGTTGTTACCCATACAGTTTGGGTGACGACTGCTGCCGTGGTCCTGCCGGTGTCCACGGTGGCAGTAGATGTGTGTTGCGCGACCGCAGTACCGTCATGCGATGTGAGGGATGGGGGTAACACGCAGCTAGACCCTGTCAGCATATACAGTCATCCCGACAAGCCTATGCTGTACGCAACCCACCTCAATGCCGGAAGAGCCGCCATGGACAGAAGAGCCGGGAGGAAGGCCACTTGTTGGAACATCATAAATACAGCTCCTACGACGACACTCCACGCTCTTCAAGAAACTAAGACAGGACTTGCAGCAGTTTCTAGGCGAACCTTGGTTCTTATTAATATTGTAAAGGCCTTCTACAGGCGCATAGGGCTTTTCTCTTTAGCCGGATGTAACGCCGACTGCCCTGCATACTTTATCGATGGTATTGGTACCGTATCTCTGCGGTTACTTTGGGCCGAAACTGCATCAATTTCGGCGACTCTGCCATTTGAATAGAGGCGTCAGTTTCTTGAGATTGTGCGCATCTTGCTGAACAGAGAACTGACGCAAGTGATCTTATAGCTGGGATACCCAGGTGGTGGATTCTCAGACACTGCTAAACACTGATATTAGGATCGTTGTCTGAGTGAGATACTGTGTCCTCGGTGTTAACTGTACCTGCCCTATTGTACTACTGAAGTTGATCAATTTTCCAAACTTCTATATTCTTCTACTTGGTATTGACCAAATAGGTAAGCCACATTGATCCCTCATCTTCAATAGGAAAACGCGACCCAGCTTTGACAGGGTTAGATTGGTGTGCTATGACTGGGGAATGTATATGAACCGCACAGAAAGCTCCTATGATCAGCAACAAATGCATACATGCATTCCATATGCTATCCCTACATTATAAGATGCACGATCAAAGGTTATTGCATGTGAATACACCTCGTTCTAGTAACGGATATTCTCAATGAAATGCTAGTACTGCATCTCGCAACTGTCCATGCTGTATATATTCAAGCAGCGAACCCCTTTGATGTCAGTAGAAGAAACTCTGTTCTTTAATGGCCTGGTTCTGTTGTTGCTATCTTCCCCATCTAGATCAGCAGGTGAATGTTCCCCAGAGATAAGTATCTGTTGCAATCAGATGCATGTATAAGTTCAAGGAGCTGACGGCAACAGTATTCAATCACATACCGTTGACGATGTTAAACATTAATAAAGCCCAATCAGTGGACTGCCATGATCGCGATACTCAGAGGCGATATGCGGGATATCTTTGGCTTGAAATCTCACTCACGCACCGCTTGAACGAAAAGCTGAAAACCCGGTGGTTACTCGAAAACGAGCATCAACTTCACCAAGCTCTGATATGTTGCCGTGTAACTAGACCAGCCCTAGAAGATGCACCTTACTTCAGCAATAGTTCTGCGGGGATATACGACTTCCACGGAGTCAGGGCACGCATTCAAATTCTACGCCAGCGACTGGAAAAGGAGCAAGAGCTCATTGACGAGACCAGGCAGCAGCGGAAGGCAATGGGATACAGAAAAAGCATAAGGTTTTGCCATATGTGCATTGATTCAGCTGAAGCTCTAATCAATATGTCGTGTGGCCATCGCATTTGTTGTCTATGCAAGTCAAGTTTCCCGTGTCAGATTGACAGCACCAGCCAGGCACCGATGTATGAATGTGGTTTGTGTTGGAAAACAGCATGTGCCCTGAAAAGCCATTGGAAGCAAACTCCTTAAACCCAGCGGAGAACAAAAGCTTAGTCAGCTACCCCTTACTCTGCTTTTTGGTGTCATAGATCAATCAATGTCATCAGCCGCTGGGATAGAATAACCACCACGAACGTCCTTGACTCTTAACATCTTATTTGCACAATAAGTACATAGGAGCTCACTAGCTAATTCTACATTAAAAATTTCGAGAATATATTTTACGTTTATTTACTTGGATACCGCCGAATAGGTCGGGATTCATAACTCATGAGTATCAGTCATAATATAGCTGCTTACAAGTGTATGGATCATCTATATTCAGGCTCTTACGAATGCGAACTGAGCCAGACACTACTCCGACATATTGCTATCTCAGTAATACTGTATGTAAGTCAGTCTATATCAAGATACAACAATCAGGCGAGAGTTCTCATTCGCAAGTAAACAACCACGCTTTAGCAACGTCCGCCCGTCTACATCATATGGACGTCATATCAGAGCAACAGCCTCCTACGGCGAAGTGAGGGATTTCTGGCTTGCATATATGTATTGTAACTTTTGTCTCTCTCCACGCTCCGCGGGCCTCTATTATGTTTCCACGGTTGGAGTCGCATAAAGTGGTCGTTGAGAACCACTACCAGGTTGTATGTGTGAAAGAAAGTCGCATCGCTACACTGCTAGGGCCAAACTAGAGGCTGCTCTGCGGCAGTTGGATGCATCAAAGTACTATCACTATATGTCATTCTTGCCATCAATCTACCAGTATATTTCAATGGACTCCCCAGGCGGCTGCCTTTGCTGTTGCGAACATGGCTTATTCGAAAAGTTACTCAACTGGAAAGATCCACTTCCGCGCAGTGGCACAGCCTTGAAATCTCTACTATGCTGTAAGAACCACAAATCTTGTCGTCCAGCAACTCGAAACATCTAGCCACAACGCCTGTTGCGATGAAGTTAAGAAACGACCTTAACTAGGCTCAAGGTAATTACACACAGCGTAAATTCTACTCCCTACTCTTTCAGAGCTATTTCCCAACATGTCACAACGCTGATCCCCTAATCTACAGTATCTCTTGGCATTACTGTACAGCCGGCGATTGGGTTTTAAAGTAACTCAATCTTTACGTTCTATTATCTCAGCCACAAAATGTAGATCTATAAGGCGAAAAGTAAATCAGGTTTATCACAATGTCCTGAGGATTACGAAGGCATCCAGTTCGGTTGACAGAAAACGAGGCTTCCAGCACATACGCACAGAAATTTGGAACTTCTAATCAACTTGTTTACAATGGCATATATCCATGTTCAATCCGGGAAACACATGTATATTCCGCGATATCCACAATCATTAAAGCAACCAGACTTTGTGTGCTGATCGCTATCAGACCGTCCTACGGCTAGCGTGGGGAACGCGTCAGAGACATGGCTTTTAGTGCGCGAATGCCACTCTTATAGATCAGCTCTAGGAGCTGAGTGACTCTGGCCAAAAGCCATAATAGTCAAAGAACTCCCGCTGCAGGCAGATGGTTCCAGATCAGCACGCAGGACTGGAATGCTGCATGGATAGATCCAATGGCCTCAAAGCGGGAGCAAGAGCAGGAAAGAAAAAGAGTCAAAAACCTTCAGGAACGGCTTAAGCGACGAAAAGACCGTCTTACCCAGGGTCTTCACGACTACGCTCTCTTGGCCGACGCCAAGGTATATATGCTCATCCAGGACCGCCGAGGTGGCATAACGGAGTACAGAAGCACCCCAGACCGAAAATTTCCGCCGACATATGCACAGATTGTACGTTCCGAAACACATGTCAGTCAGCTCATTTGGACGCTAATTGATCTATCTATAGAGGCGACTCTTCCCATCGGCCAGCCTCTTGACGCCTGAGAGCTTCGGAGTCGCTGTCAGTCAACCAGCGAAGATTGATCAGTCCAACAAGCCTATCGAGCACTTTTTGGACCCGACTGTGGAGATGCTTGCAGACGGCCGAGCGATGATCGGAGAGCCCTCCGCTCCGAGCAATAACCTTGCTCATGTCCTGCCGGATCAAACTCTACAAGTGGGACCCACATCGATGCCACTGCTCACGGAGACCGATGTGCAGTCCTATTTCACTTATACAGAATGCTGAGCGCTGTTCCCATAACCCCCTCATGGAAGGAAAGCGGGATACGATCGGCATGAGAGTTCGAACCTTTTTCTTTGATGTCTTCCCTTCGTAGCTGTATCGCCTATCTTCAGTCTGCAAAATAAGCATTGTCCCACCAGGATCAAAAGAAACAATCGAGCACTTGTATTTGGCGTTATGGTACATGTTTAGATTCTTAGTACAGTAAACGGAACATAATTCATCTCCTTCGAATCTATCCTTCTACGGGTATATATAACATAGCCGGATTGCTCCTTACCCAAGACTGGCGGCATCCATGCTGGTATATTACCACACCATGCAATACCTAGTCCAAGCTCAGACATTTTCCCTATTTTACCGACCATCTCAACAGCTATAACAGCGGAAAACCTTACTTGGTCTTCTGTGACAGACTCTATGGAGTTGGGGTGGCACATTATCAAGACTTCCGGGTATAATGTGCCAAGACAGGCTAGCTTACCACGCGTCATCTTCTACCACCAAATGCGGCTTAGCGTGCACTTGTAACACGATTGCTGATTCATACTCTCCAACAAAACTGAACTAAAAATAGTTGTGGCCGCTGCACCGAAGTAAGCTCCCTTATTACAGAGAGTTAAACCAATCACATATTACGTATAACATGGTTCTTATTATGGGGATACCTTATTGATCATTGTCTTGTTATTGCCTTGTACAATATTCCCCGGAGCGGATTAACCATGCAGCGCTTGGTCTCCTACTTGAAACGGACAAATTTGATCAGGACCTAGCTAGAGCAAAAGCCATAACTGCTAAGTATACTGAGGTCCAAATGACGCAATCTTTGTAACTCACAGGAGGGTCTTGTCAAACCTACTCTAATCGCTCACATACTGTCCGGAATTCATGTGTCTCCCGAGTTTGACTAGGTCGGGCTGGAGTGTCTGGGTTCAGGTCTTGTCTGCGGACTTTCATGCCCTCGGGTGCAGTAGGCTAGAAAATAGAACTGTCTTCATTTTAACAGGAGTGATCTTAAGGTCATCTAACATTACTGTGTCACAGACAAGCCTGAGGGCAGGGGCAAATTGATATTTCGTTATCAGGAGAGTCAATGGTGCAAAGATGTCTTTTCCAAGATAAGTACTACTGCTTCCTGGTTCCACACCGGTCGGGATGTACTTCCACTTTCCCTCAATGCTAGACCTTATTTTGCTCTGGCAAGGCATCCGTAGGCGTTTTTCCTGTTTCTGAGGCACGCAACAGATGACAAATATGGTTACATTCTGGAGAGACAGGAGTGCACGTCCTGCTCCATCTGGAAGTGGGATATACACCATGCCTGAGAGGCTTGTAGACACATGTAGTCAAAGCAGGACTTATGTTCAATACCAAATGAGAGACAAATACATTTCTTCCTTGTCTCCTTTGAACCAGCGGATATGAACCAATAAGTAGGGATGGTGAATACTACAATATAGTCGCTCACATGCCCTATTCAACATCTGCAACTTCCGCGGGCTATCCAGCGCCTGGTCAAAGGAACTGTAGTATAAAAGCTATGACAGTTGATGTTACATACTGCCCTGCACGAAGACTAGGGAATACTGTGTAAGCCAGTGACCGCACACGCCAGGGTATTCTTAAACCTTGTCCTACGAATATCATATTCTTCTGTCAACTTGGTATTTGACCACCCGGCGCTCACTAGCGCTCGGCGGCCATGGGTCGAAAGGAAAAACTGCCTAAGAGGAACGTTCCTCGTGGCACGAAAGATAAAAGCAATGAGAACAAGTTCTCCCCATTACAAGCCAGGGAAGACTCTTCATCACGTCGGGACGCGGACGGGGATGTACAAATGCATCAATCAGAAGAGGATGCAGTAGAACCTCAAAAGCGTAGGGGAAAGCACCGTCAGGGCTACAGCCTAAAGCAGCGCGCGACCACGACGCGGATCCGGAACTGCGGTGACAAGGATTATTACGGCGTGCTGGGACTTGAGAGGACCTGTGACGCACGGGATGTCCGACAAGCCTATCGAACCTTGGCCCTGCTGATACACCCAGACCATAATAAGTATGATGACGCAGAAATCGCATTTAAAAGTGAGTGTTCAAGTGGTCAGCAACATCGTAATCATCGTCGTGGCTGCCGCAAGGTCTTATTAGATTATCACTGACAAGTCTGCCCGACAAGAGGTTGGCCAAGCCTACCAAGTGCTCAGCAATTCGCAAGAGCGGGCCGCCTTTGATAAACAGCATGACCGTTATGAGAACAAAGGAAGCATCGATCCACATGACCTCTTCGGGGAGGAGTTCGCGGACAATGCTTCGGGCGACGAGTCTAGCGAGGCTCACTCAGCTGATGAAGAAGATGGACCAGAGACCCCTGACCACGCCGTTTTGGAAGTTTACTCTGAAGCTACTACCTATGTCAATGAATATCTCGCAGCGAAAGACACGTCCGTCGTCCACGAGATGCGTGAAAAAATCAACGACCTCAACCGGAGAATTAAAGAAGAGAACCGGAAACACAGCCGGCCTGAAAATGACTTTCTGATCAAGATAGACCTGCTGACGGGTGTCCGCAACGAATATAACAAGGCAACTGACATGGTCCAGGATGGAACTGCCAGCGGAAAACAGTCGGAAACGCTGCGTAGGATTGTGAGCCAGTTTGAGAATGCGCGAAAGGGGTACGGCTATCCGGAAACCTGGAAGCTCCCATCAGCCATTGGCAACGGCGACAGTAATAACAACCAGGGGCCTGGCAAAACCAACGATGCGCGCCGAATACTTGGCTATCTGCCACATGTGGGCAGCCAGCGAACCATTTTCTTCGTGGAAAGCCAGCCTAATGGAGTCGCCATGAAGCGGTCGCAGGACATTGGATATGATGCAACTAGGTTGTACCTGGAGCTCCCTGAGTCACAGAAAAAGGATGTCCGTTATTCGCAAAGCCGCTATGGGAAAGACCAGCGGGGTAATTATGATCAGATCCTGGGATGGGATTGTCGAGTTCCGTCCAATATGTCTCCGTCTGACTGGGAATACCGACGAGCTCTACCTCCTTCGTATGGCCTGGTCCGTTTTCACAACGGTTCTGCGGACATCCTGAGCCGAACCGCCCTACGCAACGTGCTTGGGAGGGAGGCCGCTGATCGAGAAATTAATAATTTCTATGAACAGCGTAATATGACTCCGCCGTGGGCTCAAATGCCCTCTCGTGGACGACTCCCTGGCCGCAGTTATGCTAAGATTCAGGGGCCATCAGTGGCCGGCAGTGCAATCAACGGACAGCAAGGTATTGAGCCAACAGTGAGAGTTAAGCGTAGCAAAAAGAGCAGATATACAGGTGGATCCCAGGGAGATGAGAATCAACAAGCCAGTTCTTCAGTAGGGGAACGCGGTGGAGAAGGCCAGGGCACTACAGATACAATCCAAGCCGTTATGGAGACGAACCGACTCCAGATGCAGGCCATCACTGATGCACTTGCTCAGCTAACATCGCGGCTTGCTATCATGGACCAGGCTCGGAATACCCTTCCTGGCTAGTACTAGCGTGAATATGTTATGAAGCAAGGCCGTTTTGAGAGGACTTACCGAGTATACTGGGAATGGTCTCCAATAGAGAGAACCCGCTATGTTCGAATGTCTCGAGATACCTGAGGTGGAATCACGTTTGCCATAAGTATGCAGCACTCAGAACTGTTGGTCTTGGTTTTGCGTCAAGCTGGACACTTACGGCCCCTGCTCTGGAAGGTACTTGCATAGTTGTCTTTCCCAGTTTACCATATAAATGTTCGGCGGTGACTTAGAACTGAATGCGTGTGCTTCAAGCATCATAATATACTGGCTTAGCCAGAAAGGCTTTCATACAGTTTGTCATATATAGTGTTTGATATAGAGCCACTCCTTTGATGTATTTTACATATTCCTTCTACCAAACGTCAAAAAGTACTTTCATATATATACTCTGGCTTCTGTAACTGAACTGGCTGTCAGGAACATACACGCCGCTGCACATATTTCAGTATCCCATGTGCCGTTGCAGCAAGTAGCATCAGCAAGACCTTGACATACACGCGAACTGTGTACTCATAGTACGGGTTCTCGGCTTGCCACAGCATCAGACGTCCAGGCACTGTGTCTTGGAGGACTCGAAACGGGACGGTGGCCGAGTCATTCGTTCCACTGCCGAAAATGATGGGACACAGGTCAACCATACCAATCCTCCTTTTGCCAGCAACACGCAGACCTTCTCCCCCAGCCAGAGGGTTCCATCGGTCATTGTTCCAATTTCTTATAGCATAAGATAGAACGTCACCCAAGAAGCCGCCGTGGTATAGTAGAAACGCACAACCGAAGACTGATTGCTTCATATCTTCAAGAGATACCTCGAAATGCCATGCGCCAGCTTCCATGAGCACAATTGGGCCATGGCATGCTCGTATATGTAGTGTATCCTGGAGTTCCAATAATATTAGTAACGTCGTATCTCATCAATGGGTAGAAAGCTAACCCGGTAATCAACGGAACCAATCGCGGCCAAAGGGCAGCGCTCCATCATTGGCTCTATGATGGATCTATTATACTCGGTCCTAATATCTGTGACCGAACGAGAAGTAGAAGAGATATCAACTACACTCGAAGAATTGGAATAGAAAATCCTGCGGGCTGTTAGTCCTCTATTCAGGTCATTACTCCTTTATATGATTTCTACGCCGTGTTGCGCATATAGACGGCAGAATTATCTGCCTGTTATGACATTCCTTGCTGTCTTGGGATACATTACCATACCATTTTTTCTTTCTCTGAGCCGTACTAGGAGGATCCAGTTCGTTGCCGCATACAAACATTGGACCCTCATGCCAGGGAGAAGAATATAGCATTTGGAACAAACGATCTACAGTCTGTGCACTCTACTGTGACGGCTAACGGGCTCATTTAGAAAGAGAAAAATAAAGGACTAATGCCAGTATAATAAGATATAATGCTGGCCAAGTTCTCTGCGGAGATTTGTACAGTCGAGAGTTGGGTATTCCTTCTATCTATATGCTTCAAAATAGGTGACAAAAAGGCTCCCGCTAGATCCCATCTTTCTTTTTGATACTTCAGTATTATTTTGTCTATAATACTTCGCATATTTGTTCCACATTTCCTTATGTTATAGGACCACCTGTAGCCACTTTCCTGCTTTATAGATCATTTGGTATGGGTATCTGCCAACTGGTAAGGCACGGAACCCAGCTAATAATTGGTATCCGTGTAATTATCCTTCAACCTACAGCAACAAGTGCATATGACATCGGTAGAGAAGCTTCATTGTGTCTGATACGTGCATCATTGTTCAGTATCATATTAAGGTAGATTGTGAGAGATAAACAGCTTCATACACACACACACACAATTCATTAACGCCCGGCGGCTCAGCCGAAAGGGCAACTATCACTAATTTATCAACACGAAGTCTAATGTACATCTGCGGTATCTCCTTCGAGCCCATACATAGATCCTTTTAGTATATGTCCTCTCAGCTGTCACTATCGTAGAAATCCCTGTGGGTTAGTATATTTATTAGTAGACTGGCTTGAAGGCGCTTCTTCAAGTGTTCAACATCCTATCCTCGGCAGTTGAAGCGCGTCTACCATCTGTGGCACAGGGTGGTTGGTGTAGGTTAGTTAGGGAAAGGGTGTCAATGTCTTGGTTGATATGGTTAGGTGGCGTCGAGTCGGCCCGTAGCGATGGCAAATCGTATTGAGGCTCGTACTGCCTCCAAGTTCGGCGTCCATTGCTGATCATCAGAAGGCGATTTCCCGCCCAGGCAGAGGGAGAGATTGCCCCGCTGAGTTCGAGTACATTGTAGCAGTGCGATCCGTTGCGTGGTCCACTTCCGACACCGGAAGAGAAAATGCTCCACGGTTTCTCTTGCTTGTCCGCATGCACACTGGTCTGTCTGCGCGGCATTGATCCGGTAGAGATACCCATTTAATCTGGCCATGCCGGTCCGGAGTTGAGCCAGCACGGTCGCTTCTTTCCACGATAATCCGTCATACAGCTGTCGGGTGTGCTTTCCTGGGAGTGCGGCATCCACTCGTTTGACGTGTCTTCCTACGTCCTCTGGCAAGGCTTTCGTGGTGACTGCTTGGGATCGTGCGAGATTCAACGTTGTTGACTTCATTCTGGGAACCTGTGCTTGTGGGATAGCGTCCTCGTGGGTTGCGGCTCGGGCCTGCTCCTTAGCTAGGCCCAGCAGTTTGTTGTCTTCGCTAATAGGGACCCAAAGTATCCTGATGTGGTTTCCTTTCCTCCGTAGTCTGTTCATCAGCTTGTACGTATGGCAGACGAACTCCTGGCCTGACTGTTGTCGAGGGTTCTGTAACGTGAGGGCTGCAGCTTTGTTGCTGGTGAGCAACCTGAGCCTGAAACCTTTCAGTCCCACCAGCCCGTTCAATATATGAGCTATAGCCGCTAGCTCTGCGGAGAATGGATTTTGCTCTGATCTTGCGCCCAGTGTCATGGAAAAGGTCTTCAATTTCAGTTTCCGATATCGAGGTGGCTGCTTCTCGATCGCCATCCCGAATCCTACCATCCCGTTCCGTGCCGAGCTGCTGATCGCGATCTGTATTGATCCACCCGGTGCAGACTGCGGGTCCGGCATTGCTTCACCATCTGTCTGCATACGTGTCTCCCATGGTGCTAATGTAAACGGGTTAATAGTCTCCAGTGTTTCCATATCAATGTTCTTCAGCGCGTCTGCCACCTGGTACAGCGGCGAACGGTGAAACCGTCTGAATTTCCTGATCCGAGCTGTAGTTCGGCGGAGCGGATTGGTATCCGGGAGCGTGTGGAGGTCGGTCCACATTTTCACGGCCCGCCTCCAAAAACGGTGTTGCGCCGTGGCAATGTGAGCCTCTGCCTCCGCGACGCTGGTTGCAACGGTAAGAAATGTCCCGACAATTGCCTGCGCTCCCACCCTTTGGACTCGGTTGATCGGCCCCGTGGCCTTATTTTTGAATGCATGCATCCAGACATTAGAGGCGTAGTCCACTACAGGGGCCACTGTGGATTTGAATAGCTGCCGCGCTGTTGATGGGGACAGACCTCGAAGTCGTCGAAGCTCCATCACTGCCTCAAGGCCCTTGGACGCTGCCCTTGCAATGTGTTCCTTGTATTTGAGACTTGTGTCCATCAGGACGCCCAGAATCTTGACATGGTCTTTGGGTTCAACAGTTTGTCCCTTGATGGTGAAGGGCTCCCGGTCCAATTTGTAAGCCTTGGGGGTGAAGTGTATAATGGCTGTTTTCTCTGCTTCAAAAGTTGCCCCACTTCGTCTTTCCCAGTCAAAAGCTTCTTTAATGATTCCCTCAATACCTTCCCGGTTGCTCTGCGCACTTGGTCCGGTCACCCACGCGGTAAAATCATCTACGAACGCAATCGCACCTCCCTTGCCGTCGATTTGACGTTGTACGAGGTCTGCATTGAAGAAGAGGAACAGGATTGGGGACAGCGGCGAGCCCTGCGGCAGTCCAGCCTGTGGCAGGCTGTGGGTCTCAGATAGTTGCCCATTGATTTGGATGGTCGCCGTTCGTTCGGAGCAGAACGCCTCAACCCACCGGAGTAGATCCTCCGGTATGCCTCGCGCTTTCATCCTCTGAAGTAACCGTTCTTTGCACACTCCATTGTAGGCGCCCTTGACATCGAAGCTGATCAAGCTCACGACCCGTCGGCCGCGCCATGCCGCGTAGATTTGCTCCTGCAGGAGTACGAGTGCTTGCTCGGCGGACCGCTGCTTTCGGGCGCCGAAGTGGCTGGTCGGGAGCAAACCATACGTCTCCACCGCGTGTGAGATCCTTTCTGCGACCACAGATTCCAGTATCTTGCCCAGCGTCGCGAGGAGCGAAATCGGTCTCCATGCTTTGGCAATAGTGTAGTTCTCTTTGTTCGGCTTTTTGAGCGGTATGATCTTCGCATGTCTCCACTGTCTTGGCAACGTGCCTTCTTCCAGCGACGCCCGGAAGAGATCCAGGACTCTGTACTTGACCGTAGGCCAAGTCATCTTCCAGACTATTGCCGGTAGACCGTCTTCGCCAGGTGCCTCCCAAGACTTTGCCGCCATCAGCTGTCGTTCGATCTCCTCCATCGTGATGGCAGGCATCTCGACTGGCGCTCTTTGTGGTCGAGTCCCTTCATCGTCAATGTTGTCCGGCAGGGGCGGGAAGAATTTGGCCAGCAATTCTTCTGCCTGCTCCGTATGATCAGTGGTCGTGGTCCCATCCGCTCTGAGGAGCTGCGGGATCTTCCCGAACGCTGCGTCTTCTCCCGACTTCAGGTATCTAGCAGCTTTCCATATGTTATCATTGTCGGCAAGAAACTGATTCCAGTGCTTTTTCTTCTGTTGCCGGATGGCATCATGGTATTGTTTTGCCGCGCCTCGGGCCATTGTCTCCAGGTAGGGTGCTTTTCGTCCCGCCCGTCGCTCGGAGCGGGCATGATTTCTCCAGTATGTGTGTATATGACGGAGCTGCGTTAAATCAGCGGTCCACCACCGCTTCGCGTGTGGTGATGGTTTTGACTTTGGTGTTAACGCATGCACCGCTTCCGAAACCGCCGACATGAGCCGGTCAGTTTTCTGCTGCACTGTGCCCTCCGCAGGAGTGGCGGCAAGAGTGTTCGCTATCCTGGCATTGATCTCTTTCCATGGAGCATTTTTCAACACAAGTCGTCCCTGATGCTGTGGGAGCGACCAGGGGGCATCAAAGACGGTCTCAATAGCGCAGTGGTCCGAGCCGTGCTCCGTCCCGAGTATAGCACACTTAATCACGGAGTCTGTTAGGTTGTCCGAGGCCAGGACCAGGTCGATCGTCGACTCGCAGTGCCCGCTGTATCCTCCGCCATGCCATGTCTTTGTGCCTCGTTTGAGAAGACTGCTGAGAGCACAATCGTTCATGAGGTCGATGATTGGATCCGCTTCACCTTGTCTTCTCAAAGACACGTCGTCTCCTCCCCAGAGTTGGTCCTGCCGGTTGAAGTCTCCCATAATCAAAATCTCCACCACCGCACCCGTATCTCGCCGTACTTTCGTGATCGCGTTGATTAAGTATTTGCATGTATCGTCCAAAGCTGAGGTGTTTTCCCCTTCAACGTAAACTGATGCCATGAAAATCAGTCGCTCGGGAAGCCTAATAACCGCTGCCGTGAGGTCCGGGGACTCTATTGGCACTTGTTCCGCCTCGACATCTTTATTAATCCAGAGCATGCTTCGAATTGCCCACCTGCCTTCCCTCCAAGTAGAGGGAACCATCTTCGTCCATCTGTGGTGTCCCATTGGGGTGGTCAGGAGCCGGCCTTGAATCCTCCTCGCCTGGGGTTCCTGAATCGCTAACGCCACCGCGTTCTGAGTCTCTTCGTCATTCATTAAGCTCTCGTGCACTGCCCCCTGTTTTCTCACATTCAGTTGAATAACTCGAAGAGACTTATTCATGATGCGATGGGTAAAGCTTCCGACAGTGTTTGCTGTACGATTCGTGAGGGCCTCCGCATGGAATGCACTTTGGAATCGTTTGATCGCAGCTACTGTGGTGATGGCCCTCCGCGGCACATTTTGCACGTTTCTGCGCGTTCTTGCACTGGAACGCCTTATGCCCAGTCTCTTGGCAGTTGTAGCATTGCATCGGTCGGGGTCGGTATTCAAAGGTGCTGGTCACGCCGGATTCTCCCCCAGCGTGAAAGAACCCGTCGGCCAGGAGCCTCCGTGCATCACTGCCTCTGGTCAGATAAACGACCATTGACCCATAGGCCTTCGCATTCTCCTTTCTGCTAAGCCATGCAATCTTAGCGATGGAAGCTTCATTCTCTTCGCCAAAGGCTGCCGCAGCTCCTGCTCGGATGTCACCATTTTCATCAAGCACTGCAGTTCTGTTGACGCTGTCGACTTTGATCGGGTACAATTCGTCACGAAGCACTCGGGCTCCTGCGCCGACCTTGGTTTCCGCCACCTTCTTAACCAGCTGGTGTTCAGCCTCATCTCGGCAAGCAATTCTGATCCGGTTGGTGTTCTTCGGATCCACCGTGACAGCGCGGCACCGCCAGCTCGTGTAGTTTTCCATTGTCCGGATCTCAGTCTCAACTGCCGTTCTAATTGGACCTGCTGATGGTCTCTCATTTTCAGTATCTACCATCTTCGAGGTGTCTATCGTGCAATATAGCGTGTCGGTGAAGGTAGTCGGTGTCGTGTTCCACGATGAGAGAGTCCGTATATTGCTCGGTTGGCTGGTGGGGGGTGTACGGGCGACATCTGCATAGGACGGGGATCCCGAAGGATTGACTGCAATGCGCAAGGATTGGATTTCGCGAAGGATCTCCTCGTGGCTGTTCTGAGCGCATGACTCGGGGTGCGGTGTCGGGGGTCGATTTGCCAGGGTCTGTAATTCATGTCGAAACTCTGCGAGGGCAGCGCCAAACTCTTCTTTGACTCTGTGGAGCTCCTCCTTGTGTAATTCATCTCGTCGTCTGATTTCTCTCCTGAGCTTAACAATCTCTTTCACAAGTTTGGAGGTGTCTGAGTCCTCGCTCTCTGCCGAGGAGTCGTCCGAAGTCGCCGCGTCACGTTGGGCGACTGGCTTACCCTGGTTCTTCTTCTTTCGCTGGGAGCGCGTGTTTCTCTGCTCAGTATCGATCTCTTGCTCTTGAGCATAGTGGGCTGGTGGTCTTGTCGTGCGTTTCGGCCTCACCAATCGCGGTGGCGAGTTTTCGCGTTCGTCGCCGTCGGGCGGTTCAGGGGTTCGCGTCTCGGCCCGTCCCGACATTTTTCCTCCCCACGTTCGAGAAACAGTCGCAGCAATCCGTTCGAAGCTCAATTCGTAGTCCCCGGCTTTTCGAGACTATCGAGACTCGTATTTTCTAATCTGCGGAAGCTCCTCGAACTCTCTCCATTGTGTACCTCCGGTTCTTTACAGTCGGATGGATGGATGGATGGCTTCATTTACCCTGACCCCTCGCTAAGGCGATATGCAGGCTACTACCACTATATGTATCTCTTTAATAAACATTGGTCCTGTACCACTTCTTAAACGAACTTAGAGCCTCGTCGGGGCCTATTGTGGCCTTTGCGCCGTTGATGTTAGTTAGCTGCCCTTATGGCACGCGGCTTCGAAATCGCTGGGATGCTTCCGCAAAATCCAAGACGGCCTCGACTGTCTTAGTGCGCGAAGCGTTGCTGACTCTACTTCCACCCTCCTGGCAAGATCCAGATCCGCCCAGCAGGACTGACATGCTATTGAGCGCATCGCCGACCTTTGCCCGGAGCTCTCGACGTAGGTCTCTGAGCAGCGGGCAATCTAGAAGGACGTGTATTATACTTTCCCGTCCACCGCAGAGGCACCGGTCATCATCGCGGAAGCCGAACAACTTGCCGTACGTGGACAGCCAGCAATGTCCCGACCGTATCTGGGTCAGAAGGTATGCTCGATTTCTTGGCAGAGCTCCGTAGAGTCGTCTGGTGTATTTTGCTGGCAGTGTGTTGTCGATTTTCCGGAGATGGCCGCCGTCCCTGGACTCTTTCCATTCTTTCTCCCATTGAGTAAGGATTCCTTGCCTGATGTATGCTCTTTCACGCGAGAGCAGGGGGGAAAACGGGTGTGTCTTGCCAGGTATAGCTGCTTCTTTGGCCAGCCGATCGGCTGCGTCGTTACCGAGGATCTCGCTGTGTCCGGGAACCCACTGCAATCGAATTGTAACCCCGTGCGTTCTCGTATTCTTGGCTGCTTGAAGGATCGCATAGATAATTTGTTGGCCTGATTTACTGCCGGGTTTCTGAATAGCCAGCAGTGCTGACGTGCTGTCGCTGAGAATAGTGACTGTTCTCGCTCGTTTCTGGCCGGCTCTTCGCTGTTGGAGCACGATTCTATTGATAAGATTGATCGCATAAAGGATACCGATTAGTTCGGCGGCATGCACCGACCATTGGTCCGTGGGTCCGACCTGTATCTGTAGGCTCTCAGTCGTTACCGATTCGTCATCGAGGACTGCGGCTGCGGCACCCAGGTGGCCTTGACGCCCCGAGGCGTCGGAGTACACCACAAGGTCCGACTCGGACCGTGCTGCCTCCGCCTGCTCCATCGCTATTTCCCTATTGGTCGCAATGTCGATTTTAGAAAAGGCTTCAGCCCGCCACGGTGGTTGTGGGGCTGGATCAATCATTTCCAGGTCGTCGAGCCTTTCTAGGTTCATGGTTTTCAGAGCCTCCGCGAGCGGGAACCGGGCGTGTGATCCGACATTATCTCGTCGTCTCCGGGCCCGAAGCAGGACTTCCCGGATTGGATGCTTCCGTGGTAATGTGTGGAGTTGAGTGATGGTGGTTTGAGCACGCTGGCGTAGGCGAAGATGGGTAGGTAGCATATAAGCTTCGACATCGAGAGTGGATGTGGCTACCGTTCGGAAGGCGGAGAGAATGCGAATAAGTGCCGTACGCTGCACGGTGCGTAACTGTCTCAGGTGTGTTTTGTCTCGCAGTGGGTCGTGCCACACAGTTGACGCATATTGAACAACTGGTGTGACACACGCTTCGTATAGCTGTCGCATCTGTTCAGGCCGAAGCTGCCGCAGCCCCCCAATCGCCACGTTGACCTTGGTAGCTCGCTTGACAGCTTGTTGCACATGTTCCTTCCACCGTAGTTCATGGTCAAAAATGACGCCGAGGAGCTTTGCAGTTGTGGATGGAGTGATGACGCTGCTGTTTATGGTGATTTGACCTCGACATTGTTCCCTTCTCTTCCTGGTGATATGGATGAGTTCAGTCTTTTCGGCAGCAAAGCTCGATCCTGTTTTCCGAGCCCAGGCTTCAATCCGGGGTATATCCTCGGATTGGAGTTTAGCCAAGTTCTCTTCAGCAGATCGACCAACCCGCCAACGGAAGTAGTCGTCGATGAAGGCTGATGCACCCCCGTGGAAGTTGACTGGTTGGTCCACCAGATCACTGTTGAAAAACGCAAAGAGGATAGGGGATAAGGGGGAACCTTGCGCCAGCCCGGCATTTCCCAGCGGTATCACCTCGGAGCAGTAGTCATCGAACCCAATCCTGGCTTGTCGACCGCTCATGAAGCTTGCAATCCACCTTCGAGCGACCTTAGGAATGCCTTTAGCTTGGAGACGAATATCAAGACTGGTCTTGTTCACGCCATTGAAAGCGCCCTTCAGATCAAAGGCTACCAAGGTAACTACTCTCTGTCCATACCACGCCCGGTCGATTGCGTTAGTCAACACCAGCAGGGCCTGCTCGGTTGTTCGCCCCGGACGTCCGCCGAACTGGGTGTCCGGGAGAAGTCCGTAGTGCTCTGCGAGGTAGGACAGCCGCCGGGCCATTACCGCCTCAAGTAATTTGCCGAGTGTGTTCAGCAGTGAGATCGGCCGGTACGCTCCCGGGATCGAGTAATCCGACTTCCCGGGTTTACGTAGAACCACAATCCGGGCGCTTCTCCACTTTCGGGGGTGGTACCCTAAGTCAATCGATGCTGCGAAAATTCGCGTGATGAGGTTTCCAAGGTGTCTCCACAGCCGTTTCCAGATCAGCATCGGGAGCCCGTCCTCTCCGGGCGCCGTTGAGCTCTTCGCTGCCTGCAAGGATCTATAGACTTCGAGTTCTGTGATTGGTTGCCATGGAAGTTCCGCTGGGATTCGTGTGGGTGTCTCTTCCTGGGCCGGCGCCATCATCGGGAAGAATGTATTCATAAATGCTTCGGCCTTCTCTTGGTTTCCAGTCACGCTGCGGTTATCGACTTTGAGAGCCGGAACGCTGCTCCAGGATTCGCGTGGCCGCATGTATGTCGCCGCTTTCCAAAGCCTCCTTTCCCCTGTTCTGTCCAGAAACTGTTTCCAATGTGCGGTTTTGGCTTTCTCAATTGCCCGTGTCCATGTCCGGCGCTTTTGGCGCATATCCTCAGAGAGTAGCTTAGTGTAGGGGTCGTCCCGTCCTGCCCTTGCGCAGCTCTCTTGCCATTTACGCCGTGTTTGGTTTACTGCTTTTTGTTGGGTTTTGAGGTCTGGTGTAAACCAACGCTTAGCATATGGTGACGGTTGTAGGTTCGGGATGTCCTTGTCAATGGCCGTCGCGGTCGCTTGAATAAGTTTCTCCACCGTGGCATCGAGTGTTTCAATTGTGTCTGGCGTCTCCCAGGGCCTCATGCTTGCCCATATATCCCATCCGATCTTTTCCCAGTCGGCTCGTTCGTACGCCTTCCTTGGTTTGGTGTCGGGGTTGCGCGGCATTCGGAGGCTCCATTCCGAGTAGGTTGCTCGGTGGTCGGAGCCGTAATTATCATGGTAAAGATGGCATTTGAGAAGCATCCCCGGACGGTCCGTCAATGTCTGATCGATAGTAGAGTTTCTACCGGGGTGGCTTAGTGACCAGAAAGTTGCCGTGCCGCGTGGGAGGCAGCTCCGAAGGCTGTAGGTGTTGAAGAAATTGATCAATTCGCTCGCATCTTCGATGAAACGGGATTGGACATGGTTACCACCCCAAGCCGGGTGGTGACGATTGAAGTCTCCTGACAGTATGAGACTAGTGGTCTTGTTTGTATTTTGTAGAGTACTATGTATCGTGTCATGTATGGCTGATAGTACACGTCTTGCTGACGCTTCTCCCGGATTATGCATTGGTATAGGTTCGATGTACACCGAGAAGACCAGAATCTGTAGTTCGGGTGTCCGGATCTTGATTGCTGTTACATCAGGGTGGTCGCAGTGCACCTGTCGGTAGGAGGACGTAGAGAGTCTCCGGTTGACATAGATAAGGCTCCTGAATCTGACAGAATCGCTTGTTACTGTTGGTCGGTGTAGTCTCCATGCGCTATGGTTCACATGGCTTCGATACATAGTGGTAGATGGTTCCTGGATAAGGAGTATGTCCAGGTTTTGGGTCTGGTTATCGTTGATAAGGGCTTCCATGCAGGGTTTCGATTTCATCATATTCAATTGCAGGATTCGAAGGTTGTTTTCTAGCATCGTGCGGGGGGCGCTATGGCGGGCGTCGGGCACAAGCTGTTGCCGGTTGCGTGCTCTCCTCTACAGTCCAGACAGCGTGGTCTAACGCCTGGAGGGCATCGCGCTCGCTCATGTTGGTCGCCACAGTGACCGCACCGTGGTGTCTCCTTGCACGACCATGCGAGGTGACCAAACTCTTGACAGCGGAAGCAGCGTCTTTTCCTAATTTCACATTTCTCTACTCTTCCAATGTACCGTTGGTCGATCAGAAGGCCGTTGTCGAGCATCCAGTTCGCCGCCTCCGCTGAGTCAAACCATATCCCCAGTGATGCGAACGGCCCTAATGCTTTGTCTTTTTTCCTAAGCCAAGCGATATCTTCGATTCGGAACCCACGTTCCTGGAGATCATTTTCCTGTGCAATTTTCCGGATGGCTCCTGTTTTGTCTTTCTCAAGATCCAGCCCCTGTGTTGGGACATGGTGTACGGCTACCCCGTAACGTGGTTTTACCAGTCTTGTCTCATGGCCCAGCTCCTGTAACCATTCTGTATTGTTCCTGGCAGTTTCAGCTGACTCGGGGTCTTTGAAACGGATCACATATCCGGTTTTGGTGGTTCCAACCCCTGCTACCTGTACCCCGTGGGTGGATGGTGCGTTCAGTAAGGCGGTCCTGATGTGGTTGTTCGCAGACGACGTGGGGAGGTAACGGCCAAATTCATTAGTATTGGTGTATATACCGGTTGTGTCAGTTGGCAACGGTTGGGTGCTGATTCGGATACAGTTCTTGTCCTTTTCGGTGCGTCGGTTCTTGCTTGGTTCGCAGTTGTTCGTGTCTGCTGCTACGGCGGCCCACGATCGCGTTGGATTCGGTGCGTCGAGCCCTTCGATTTGAGTTCGGAGCGTTTGGATCTCGTCTTGTAGTTTCTCATTCTGAGTTTGTAGTTCTCTCTGATTGTGTTTCACTTCTCTCAGCTCGGTTCTGGTGGCCTGGATCAACGTGGTTTGCTTCTCAATGGTATGTTGCAGGTGTTCGATGATCTGCCGGATTTCCTTGGTGGTCACCCGGGGTGTGTTGGTACCTGCGGTGCTTGGTTCGATGATTAGTGAGTTCGCCTGGTCCTGGTGGTTGTCTGCGCGTGCTTGTCTCCGCGTCTTGCGCGTGGTCGTTGATTCAGAGTTTTCCAGCGCGTCGTTCCCCAGTGTGGTCATGTTCCCAAGGGCCTCGGGAGCACCCGCGGGTGGGTCCGCCATCGCGATAATTCCCGTTCGGCACACAACAATCGTTTTATATCGCGCTCAATATCAACCAGCACCAAAATTAATCTCTCTTGTTGCAATCACTCCTTCTGAAATGTACAGTCCGTCTCGAAATCGCTCTGACCTTTAAACAAGAGAGAATTGTCTTCCGGACCCACTGCCAAGCACTTAGTAAATATACTATAGTGAACCACCCGCTTGGAACTGAGGGCCTGTACTTTTCTTAGTGTACAGTTCTTCCGGGTACCGGTGTCACCACCTACACTCTTCGGTTTTTTCAGCAACCCCGGGATGAAACAACACTAAGCCAATCCTGGCACGCGCTGGAAATCCTTCTCTCGAAAATACAGTCTACATTTCCTCCAGTGATGTCGAAATTGGGTTGACTCCAAACACATCCAATTGTTTTGGTTGACCCCAACACCAAGGGCTTGGCAGGAGTAGTTCTATTGACCTATTGACACTGCACCGTATTTTATGCAAGCTTCTTTAACATGGATGACAACTGCTCAAATGACTGATGACCCGACGACGCCCAGTGGGTAGCAGAATCCCATCATCCCTCTAGTTTCCAGCAATGTAGCTTCCAAGTACGAATTACGCGCCAAGTCTACTCCTGTCACCAGTTGTATGCTTACAGATCAAATTAGTCATTTTCAAAATCGGCCTGACCGCTGCATATGCATACGCGTTAATTATCTCCCAGCTCCACTGCCAAAATTAGCATAGTGTTGTTCCACTCCGAGGTTGCTGAGACAATCGGAGAGTGTAGGCGGTGACATCGGTATCCGGAAGATCTGTATGAAAGTCTTCTGGGAAATTGCCGGTTCTGCCGTGCACACGTAGAATTATCTGGGCTTAATTGGATTGCATGTAAGCCCCTGCCTACACGACACTTACTTCAGTACAGTTTCCTAAAATTACTTAACACAAATGCGCCAGAAAAATGGTAAGCTTGTCCGCACTAGGTTAGTGTTTGCTTTCCAGACTCATCAATGACGAGATTCTAGCGCCAACCTGGAACTTCACTGCATCAGCCAGCTTCTCATGCTAGAACACACGGTAAATTTACTGCGTTCGTCGCCCTATCTGCAGCCAACATACAATGTCTAATTCATACCATACGTACAGCACTATAGCGTTACTGGTATAACCGAGGCATACCAGGTGAGGAGCCTAGGCCGAATTGGGGAACTCTCCTCCCAGGGCTAGGTAATACGTAGATGTGACGGTGCCATCTAGGATTGTCTGCTCGACATAGCCATAATTGTAATAGTCGCAAATCTTGCAGGCGCTGAAGACCTTTTCCGCAGGCTCCACTAGATTCCCGCACTTTGTGCGGATCGATGTAGAACCCTGCCATATTGTTAGAGTTGCAGTTCGTTTCGGTTAATGCTATTGCGACTTGTGTACTGACATAATTGCACACAAATATTGACGACAAGTTCGAGTTTGACACCCGTGCGCAACTATCCACTGGCACAGCACATGTCACGTTTTCAACGTCTTTGAGATGCTGAATATTGACGGGTGCCTCTTGGACATGGGCCAAACCGTAATTAAGCGAACACATGGGGCTGTCTGTCTGCAAGTATTTCTCAGCTCAGTCTCTCGGAGTGTACCAAAGTCATACAGTGCTCCTCTTCTGCGTCGGCCGAGAAGTGGTATTGGCTGGGTATACTGGTACGTCGAGCACCTGTGAATAAGGCATCATCCATTAGCAATCGCTTCTTGTATCTGCATTTACCACATACCTCATCACCATCCGTGTCTTTGTAAACGTGATAGTCAACGGCACCAGCGACCTGTAAAAGTCAGATCAGCCAGTCATGAGCGTTATATCTGCCAGTCCAGAGCCTTACATGAGATGCCACAAGGAACAAATAAACAATTTTGAGCAATAGGGGCTCCATTGTTCGACTTTCGAGAGGCTTTGCAATGGTTCAACGTAGCGAGAGTGATACACTTGGTTTATATTTCAAGAAGTGAGATGACTGATCGGTTAGGAACCGCTCTGTACGCTTTCTAGATGGCTTTGTCGGGCCACCCCTTTTCGCCACCCCTTCTACATCAAAAATATTAGGCCAAGCTCTTACTTAGACCATGCTTCTCGTAGCCCCGTTTATCCGTTTGAGCCACTCCAAGCTACCCCGCATCGTACTCGTGCACCCCTTTCATATCGTGTCCTTGTCTTGGTTTTGAAACACTGCACACATATTTTAGTTGGATGATATGGCCTTGCAGAATGAACCCTATCGAGGGCACGATTCTTTCAGAAGATCTGTACGTACTGTATCTAATCTTACATGGCACGGCATGTCCAGGTCTGCTGACTATCAATTGTTTACGGTCCAATGATGCATTGGGCATAGCATGCCGTGCTCTGGCATCGAGGAAGCAGATCATTTACTCGGTTTCGGTCGAAGTTCACGCGCCGTGCCAAGAGTGCAAAATGCAATGCATGACAGCCGGGCTCGAGGGTGAACTACGTCAAGAACAGAAGAGCCTCGGTCATGTGTGAATCGGTCTCCTGGCGTCATTAATTAGGGAAGCAGATATACTGTACCGTCTCTCGAAGGTGTTGATGATTTGCCTCCGAACACCGTAGCACTGCAGGTGCAAGATATGACATAGAATTTCTTGCTCCAAAACTTGCAGAGAAAGTACGGTGCACAGTGAATAGATTGACGGGTTAGTCACAGCTGTCATAACTTGAGAACGCAATCTTTTGAGTACCTCGACACCATGGGTAGCACAAGGCGCATATGCAGCGGTGTGCACTTTAGGTGGAGAGCTCGTCAAGTTCTGTGTTCACAGCGTGCTTAGCTTTCACTTCGTTGAGTCACCCTGAGAAAGACCCCCTCAGGAGGAACCTGTGAGTTGAGGCGGCAATGAGACGGGTGTACATTTGGGAATAGCACGTCTACTTAGCGGTCGGGCGGGGGCTGTTACCCAGGCAATCCAGACAGGAACGGTACGGTCACACCCAGTTACGGAACGTAATGTGACAAGGTGCTCTGCTCTGCCATAAGAAGACGGTTGCGCCACAGTGTGGGATGATTTGGTGGGAATGTTCTAGCGCGGATGATACGGAACAATATGCCGCTGTCAAATTACTCTCGCGTTAGCCCCGACATTGATTGCTCGGTTGATTACCAATCGATCGGATGTCCGTTTCGGGAGCGTTTGGTCTCAAGTGGAGACAATTCGAATGCAGTTGAAAGACACTGCTGTTGACAGGAGACGAGCCAATTATTTTTTTACGGCCACTCAGATTATTTAGTGGCCTTCGCTTTCTTAGCTGCCGAATGCGTCGGCGTTCTAATGCGGGCTGCCAAGAAATGCGGTCTCTGGTGTCCAGAAGCCCATATTGTGTTGCACGCTACGACCATTTGCACTTGTGGCAAAGTCATTTCCCAACGAGTATCTGGGCTCTGAAGGATTGCGGTAAAGCAATGAACTAAATAAATTTCATGACTTTCCCCGTCGACTTAATCAAAGCGCATTTCTGGGGCGGACCCCCTCCCACCCTCGCGTCCCTCGCCGTCTTTGTTTGATAGATAGTACCGTATCACCGTCCAACATGTAAATGTTCATGTAGAGTATGGTGGTTGTACGTAGCGGTACAATGAATGGGTTACTAAGTAATGAACCTCGTGACAAATTGCCGTATCAATACAGGAATGGCGCGAACATCGACCCTGTGATGACAGCCCAACAGGCTGCAACTGGAGCCCCTTTGATCCACTCCCGCAGTAGCTGGTGTTGTACGGTAGACATTAGAAGCGTAGAGTGCTAATGATGCCCCGCCTTCCGCTGAGGCTTGTCGCTGATGCCCGCAAGACGGTTTCACTTCATTTGATCTGAAGCTTCTCATATCATACTGTTCGAGTGCCATGAGACAGTGGAACTCAAAGATGTCCTCTCCTGCTCTTCGATCTAACTATGAAGGAGCATGCATCGATGATGAAGGAGATTTTCTCTGCAAGTGCGGGTTCAGCATGCGCATATCCACAGTGAGTGACAGGAAAAGCCCAAATTTTGGGAAGAAGTGTTAGTCGACATCTCATGAGCTGAGTCAAAACTACTAATTCATCCAAGATATGGCATGCAGACGAGGAAGAGAAAGCGCAAATCGGTGCCGGATTTTCATTTGGTACGAGGAGCTTCCTCGGATAAAGCTTCTTCTCTCTACGTTTTCAGAACCTGCGACACCAAGAAGAACGTTAGATATCCGACAATTTGGGGTTCTCACACCAGTTACCAGTTCAAGGAAAGGGCATCCACCCATAGACAGGACAACTAGCCGAAACCAATCAAGCCAAGTTACAACCCCAAAACGCCCACTGTTTTCTACATCCGGGCAAGTCAACAAGAAGCCAAGAATATTGGGTACTCCATCACGGTCCCCTAGCCCCGCACAGTCCAAAACTCTCGATGTTGGCAGCCCTACATGGGGTCCTGACACTGAAACTTCCCCATCATTAAGATCAGAAACCATGCATTCTATGAGGGGAAGATCGCGCCGATGGGAAGAATACGAGACGGATTTACTAAACACACCTACCAAGCACAGAACCCATATGGAGAATTTCAAGCCAAATGATGGGAAAACAGAGGTGGCGAAAGGAGAAGACGAAGAAGATCTTCTTTCTGACTGGGATGACACTATCGTCTCAGAAGTGATTCAGATCGCCGATGAATCTACATGAGGCGCGTGACTGTCTCAACCCTCTTGGAACTTAAAAGAAGCACAAATCCTTTGATAGCCTTCCGCCACACACTAGGCACAAAACAAGAATGCTAGAACTTGGGAGAGCTAAGGGCAGGGATGTTTCCTTGAGCACATTTTGGCCTGAGGAGTTTTTCTTTTTTTTTTTTTTTTTTTTTTTTTTTTTTTTTTTTTTTTTTTTTTTTTTTTTTTTTTTTTTTTTTTTTTTTTTTTCCTTGGTTAATTCCAGGATCATATTCTTTTGACATAAATCGACTTGTATAAGGAAGGGGCAAACCAGAGTTCAAGGCCCGACCGGGTTCGAAGCGCTCTTCGTATAGCCCAGTTTAGGCCAATAAGAACGTGTCTTTAGTTACCTGATCTACTTAGTAATCTGTCCCTCACCTAATCGAGAAGGTTCCCTGGGGTTTCTTCCTTGCGGCAACATCTGCAATTGTCAATATATGGGACGAACATCCCTTGGTTACGTAGTAAGTGATCCTCTCAACAATACTGTATTAGTAGTGATTCAATTTACAGACTTTCCGGGAACGGCTTCACTACTTATATCCTTTCATAGTTTCCCAACCCTAATACCAAGATAGCCTATTCCGCCCTTTGATAGACTCCGGATTTTTATGGATCAGGATATGGTAACGTATCGTAATGGCTTCAACGTAGATCCCCGCCCTGTATTTTTACTCGTTTCGTTCCCTACGCCACTTATCCCCATAACTCAGAGGCAATGTCTGAAGATCCTAGGATAATTACCGACCAGCCAAGCTCCCTCGGTCAACTCCTGATCTGATCAGGCTTATTTGATTTGGAAAAGATCCCTCGACCATGATCAGTAGGGACTCACCGTGAGGTTAGGACCAGATCTAATCGTTCGAGTGATCGATAGCTTCGAGCCAATCATTACTTAGAAACCTTAGAAACCTTAGAAACCTTTACCTATTTTCATGCCAGGAGGTTGGTTGCTTCGTCCTCATTAAAAAGAGGAACACGGAAGATTATTAATCCTTTCCCCCCGGAGTAATGGCATCCCTTGATTGAATCCAAGAGCTTCATCTTCCTTCATACAAGGAGCAACGTTCACCATATTTCATTATCATACCTCTTAAAGCCGATGTTATTAGCTTTACCATGGATGACTCAACCGAAGATGTTCATAAGCGCATTCTGCGCCAAGCTCGAGGGATCCTTTTCGATTTTCTTGGAATGATCGGTTCAGGCACGATCCGACTAGTATTCTTAACCAGAAGATTATTTAGGATCTATACGCCCCTTTGCCACACAGGTCCAGGATTGTCTCCATGAATACAATACAGACAATGAGACTCGTTTTGTCGCAGTCAATATCTACGCCGGCAAGCACTCCTATTTTGTGGTTGATCTCAATAATACCAATTATGAGTATCAGACTGCTTATGAATGCAAGACGTCGATACCCGTCTATATCCTTCACCTATCGAAAAGAAATCCGAAGATCTTCAGGAACTGAGAACTGGATAGACAAATTGCCGCGAATATCAGGATCATGCACAATGGCCATGGTCAAGACCCTGTACCTTTGTTTGACAATTATCATGACGAGAATCGACAATACGGCAACCCACGCAGCCTCCAACGTTGAATTTTTAGTTTGCCACTGACGATGCATGTACGATGTATCTCGTTATCATCCTGTTGTCCGTTGAAAGCCGTTATTACCTCCGAACGTCTGCCTGAGGGGATCAAGGCGTTTATTTGGTCGATAACATTATGTAGTTAAAGTAGGTTTAATTCACTTGGTGTTGGGGGTACGGTATGCCCCACCAATTATTTGAGGCACCCCTTGGACCTTGGGTTCTTCGCTCTGTTGGCCTCGACTCGCACGCACAGCCAATCGAAACCCGCCACATCCATCACATCCATCGTATCGTTGCGACTTTTCTTTCCAGTCATAAAGTAGAACAGATGTGTCCAGTAGAAATATCATATTGACACGCTTGGGCCTCAAGGCTTATCTATATAAGGATGTCTGACCATCCCTTCCAGTCTTTCATCTCATCCGTACACTTTCTTTCTCGGTTCGGAAACCCAAGCCCAGGAATTGAACGAGGTCTGCTCACCTAGGTACTTATCGATATCGAACACACTGATACCCGTGACAGATGTGCTATTGGAAGCAGACAGTTTATCAGCTCTGTGGATGCTTGGGTATGGGGGAAAACCTAGGGCACATGGACGAATGCAATGGTATTTGTAATATCAACATGCAGCCATCCAGACAGCAAACTAGGGTGGAAACGAATCCAGGATGATGCAACATCCATACTCACCAAATGACCTCATCGAGCAGTGAAGGATCTTTCACCTAAAACTGGCCTATGTGAACAGGGTACGTTATAGTCATCGACGGAACATTAGATTCGAAACTCTGAAGCATCCAGTGGTTACAAGGAATGAAAACGCTTCTGCTTTCTATCATTTCTGTGGACAGTGGCATACGAGAGTGCGATTGCCTGTTGAGGTCTGACAATCGCGGTCTCATGCTGCACTTACCTGGTGGCTTGGGCATATTTGTCGTGGATGTCTTACCGCAGGTTCTGTCTTTCTGCCCAGATTTGCAGTAACCACCTATATACGTAGTGAAATGAAGAAAGCTTTCATTTTGGGAACCGCCAATGTCAATTACGTTTTGGCGGATGTGACTATAACTAATGTCTAGGCTCACCAAACTTCTCCAGCGATGTGAAGAGCTTCAAGGAGATAAAGGAAGAAAGTAGAAAACCGTGCCTTTATATGTAAGAAGTCTGAACATCCCACGAGCGAGTTCTGGGAGCTGAAGGCCCAACTGTAAGCTTCGTTAAAGACCGCTACGCTTACTGATACGGAGACTGACAGTGGCCATAATTTGTGCATTTGATGACGAGTGTCTAATCAGCAGTAACATAGTTGTTCCGTTCTATTTCTCATTATGAACTGGGCTTCATGAGACTAAGATTCGGGAGACTACGGAAAGGTATAGGTACTACAGTAACAACCTACTATCAGAAGAGTGTCTGCACCAAAGCTCGATCAAAAATGTACCAATACACCAGCCATTACACGTGAGGTTTCATTTATCTGGGTATATTTCACGCGATTGTCTCGTCGAGCTTACACCAGGATCATCAGTTGTGTTCGGAAGTCACATCTTCCGTTCATCGGCTTTATATGATAGCTCACCAGAATCGACATTGAATATCCTTAAGAGGGTTCTTGATTTCTGGAAGCTTTCCCCTGAGACTTGCTAAGGCTACAGAGGGTATTAACTCATATTCGAGGGGCTGTGTCATATACCTGGTTACAATACCGTTGGGTCTTGACGTACTATGCTCTGAGTCACAGTTAATTTGATAGGAAGCCAGAGGAAAATTTGTTAACGCTGGTCTGGAAGGGTCAGACTTCTTACTTAATCAGCTATCTATGAAGCAAATGCTGGGAATAATCTTGTGGGGAGTCGTATATGTTATATTCCACCACCATTAGTATTACTTTTACTCCGGGAATCGGGATGGAGGCCAGCGACCGTGCGCAGGAGAATGTGGCTTTGTCGCTCAAGAATTCCTTAGCGGACGTGTTCCAGCCAGTCGTCTTACCCTTGTCCCATGCCTGACTGTTTCCGGCTATTTCAGGGTTATATCAAACTGCGTCCCAACGTTTGCTGTCCAGTCAACTGCAGGTAGGACAATAGCGTGCGTCATGACTTGGCTTTTGTATTACCACAGCGCTTTATATACACATGGTTTGACCTGTCTCGCAGACTACATTTTCTTCAGAGGTTATCCTCATCGAACTTTTCGCATATATAGCTTGTGCAAAGTCTCGCAGAAATGGCCAAAAAAGGAAACAAGCACAGAAAAAAGAACCTCGTTCGAGTGGCAAAGCCTGTTGCTGAAGTAGTTTGTGAGACTCTTGAGTGCCCTGCTGCCGAGAACTGGGAGACTACCCCTCCCTGTGACGAGACTGGGGATGCGGAGCCTATCGCTGAAACAGTCTATGACGCCGTTGCGTGTCCTGCTGCCGAGAACTGGGAGACTACCCCTCCCTGTGACGAGACTGGGGGTGCGGAGCCTGTCTCTGAAACTGTCGGTAAGCATGCTGTAACCGCAGGTTATGACAGTTATAACGTGTCAACTCCGGGTATCCATGAATATGACCAACCTGAGACCAGGTAAGTCACTCCACGTTTAACGAGGTTTCAGCAGCGGGCTAATCCGAGATATCTAAGCCCATATGGAGATCTACCAATAGTAATTTCTATCGGCCGGGGAACCCAGTATTTTGTCCCCAGGGACATAGCTGGTCAAATTCTATCTCTTCAAGATCATTGGGACAAGAACGATAGTCGGATAGCGAGGTTTCCTGAGGTTGATGACGACATTGGGCATACCTTCATCCATTACCTATATACAGGTGATTACCAAACCTTGAAGCCAGCGTCAACGAGCAATATGCCTTGGCGCGCAATCGAATACAGACGAAGTGTCCTTGCATATTCTGCTGGTACACGTTGTGGTGTTGATGGACTAGTCCATCATGGAAGAAAATACATGCAGATATTTGATAAGGATGTTTCCCTGTTTGACATGATAGATCTGGGACGCGAATGTTTTCCAAGAATTGATGAGGACCGGTGGTATTCCGAGTACCTCACCAACAGAATTATGACTAGCTTCGAGTCTGAAGAGGGGATTTTTCAGCAAGAGGAGTTCTATTAAGGCTTTGGCGAGAACCCTTATTTTGATATATTCCTTGGGAAGATAATGGCAAAGGCCTATTCCCTTAAGATATCACTTATTCGTGCGACGTCAGACGGGAGGAGGATGGACGAGAGACCAACCATGGCGATGGCAATGAACAAAGGGTATGCTGCTAGTAGCATATATGAATGCGCCCGTACCAGGCCGGAAGGACGCAAAGAACGATACTCACACGTTAAGCCTCAATTAAACCGAACTGATGGATCATCTCCCCCGTTGACTTCAAGAAGACTGGATGAGGCCAGGTCAGACTTTGAGGGGGATGAGAACGAGCTTGAATTGTCTCGGACAAGTGTTGTGACACCAGCTTCGAGTACCGTCGAAGCGTCCAACGGGAACTGTGTTGGAGAGACATCTATAGGAGAAGAGCCTTTTCAGTCAGGCTCTGACCTCGGCCGTGATATTGGTCCGCACTGGGAACAACACATCATGCATGAAAACTCATGGAAGGGCTGCCAGATGTGCAAAAGTTACATCCTGATTATGTTTACTAAATTGTTTGCCTCATGAGAGGAATGGACTGTTTTGATTCGTCTTAGGATCGCTGATCTGTAATCACTATAATATAGGATTTCGTGCATAGACTCGTGGATCAAGCGCTCTGCCGTCTTGAACATATACCAACGGGAAATATAACTGGGGTATCCGACCTCTAATCTTGCCCTTCCGTTGTGAATATACAGTGGGCCTGGTCGACAGGCTGCACAATGAGACGGGTGGCTGGTTCTCGAATCTTTTGGTTTTACCAGTCTTCTACTGCTAAGATAATGTATGTCTCCTGGACCGCATATCTACTCACATACCTTTGGACGGGTCATTCTTGACTGGCAACGTACGAGAAACAACATAGTTTCCAGGACTATTACAGATGTGCCTGTGGAGTTTGAGACGGTAGTCCACGTACTGATGGACTGCCCGAAACTCAGAGACTGGGACAACAATCACGGGGAAGATCGGGGGTGTATTCAGCAATATATCAAGCATGGTGGGGGAGCGCAATCCAGGCAGCGGCTTATTATGAGGGTGAAGAAGTCGTGCATGCTCTTCTGGATGCCGGTGCTCAGGTAAATGCTCAAGGAGGATATCATGGTAATGCATTGCAAGCCGCGGCAAGGTATGGACGAGTATGCTTGGTACAGATGTTACTGAATGCTGGAGTAGACGGCAATGCTCGTGGGGGGATCTATGGAGATGCTTTGACAGCAGCTACAAGACGAAAGAACACAGAGGTTGTCAACATTCTTCTGCAAGCTGACGCAAAAGATGACTTGAGCGAAAGCGAGGGTTTGGGTGGATCTGACATGACTGAAGACATAGGTGGTGACTTGTTTGATTATGCATATCATTTATCCGCTGTATTGCTCCCACCACTGTTGGATGCGCATAGGGAATGAGGTCATAGATTTCTCCATACCATCTATGCGACGAAACGGGACATAATCATTATTAACATCAGTACTATTCGTTTACTGAGGCATATATTTGCCCATCGCAACGTGTGGGACTAAAGCAGATAACGATTCGGTCTTCGCTCATTGGTTGACTGATATTGCTTACATCATACATCGTCCCCCATCAGCCGTTAGGGTTTCTTTGTAACATACGGGTATTAAGTCCACATACACGTCTATGAAGACGAAATGGAGAATAAGGCCTCCAAGTGTGAGTGGGGTCCGTGATATTTCAGCTAAACCTGTGTACCAGCGGTCCAGTACCCAGCACTAGCTTAAAATTAGTATATAAATTATTTCTCTTGATAGAAGCAAAAGAAGACGCCCTGACACTGAAGACGCCACCTTATTCCACGATGTAGCCTTCATATGCAGGAGTCAGATCCTCATTAGGGAGAAAGTTCGCGGTAACGGTATCGGATATGAGTGGGTTCTGGGCACAGGCGATGGGGGACTGGTAATTGTCATAGGGAAACTGGCGGTAGATCTTGGTGTATGAAGTTGTATTTAATAGCTATGGAAACACAAAACAATCGCCTAGCTATCCCTATGTTTGATGTCACATGGAAGGGTGATACCGCATTAAGGAAATGTCCATGATCTCTGCGGTAACACACTGATACTGATTTTCCACACAGCCAAGTCCTACAGGTCCTTTGGATAGAGAGCTGCGTAGGTGGAGGAGATACTCTTCGAGGAGACCTAATAGCTTGGAAGACCCTCAATTCAAACGTCTTCCTAATTAATTTCGGCAAGATACTGTAAGGGGAGACTTACATGGTAGTATGATTCTATAGCGTTGCGGCAGCTGGGCAACTCACAACACGAGCACGTTTTATCCACGCTTCTGAGGTTGAACTTCTTATGCAGAATAAAGTTGCAAATATACTGACTCCCAGCACGGTGTGGAGATATCTACTCACGCCGAGGATCAATTCTTGGTGTTTCAATTTCACTCGGTTCTAGATATATGACCCATAACAAACTGAGGGTTATAGGACGGAAGCCATAGCTTACATGACTTGCTTTCGAAAGGTGTCAGGTCTGTGCCTGTACGATTACTTCACTGAAAGAATGATTAAACCCAGTATTGTGCGGGGCAATACAAACAAAGCTAAACAACAAAACGACACATCAGATGCCTACTTATAAAGCATTTTTAAGACCTATATAGCATCTGAGACGGAGTAGAATTGTCATATCAGTCTTGCTCAGGCATTGGTTACGCCCAAAAGTTCGTTGTCACAACCAAGGGTCTAATCACTCTTCAGTCACACTCAGCTTGCTGCTTAGATGGCCTCTTCTTGTTCTTCTTTTTCTTGTCTAATCCCCGAAATCCCCAATCCCAATTATCACTATCTTCGTGAGTGTAGGGAACTTCTGGGTTGGCCTCTTCGCAGTCAACTGGAAGGAGCTCGACCGCAGGCTCACCACACGGACGGTTCCGATCAGAAGCGGATGAAGATGAGTTATTTGCAGTTTTATGTGCTTTGGGCGGTACTTCAAGACATTTTCCTCTGTCGTGTCCTTCGGTAGGCTCAGATTGGGGTACTGCAAACGATTGTTCACACGAAGGCTCGCCATCATTCTTCGTCTCACTGCCGCCGCCGGTAACTCTAAGAATGTTTCGCAAGCGTGAGGTCTCGGTGGTAAAGGCTTTGACTATAATCTTCATTACAGCTTTGCTGAATGCTGGATCATCCACAATTTCCGTGTAGAACTCGTCCAGCTGGAATGTTGTTTCACCCTCCGCGAAGCTGCTAGCAAGTTTGGAGTCTAAATAGTGATGAAACTATTCTTCATTCTCAGGCAATTTTGAAAATATTGATCTGGCTCTTCGTAGGACCTGGAAAATTGACAGGGTTTCACTGAGAGTCATGATGTAGTTTTGGGCAAGCGCATCGAGGCCGTCTATCTTATACTTCCTGGCGGCATAGTAAACCTGGACGCTTCTCTCATATTCAAGTTCAATGTGGTGTGTCTCGCTTTGATTTTCCGCGTAAAAAACCGTTTCATATTCCCCTTTGTATAGGAAATGTAAGATGGTGTGGCCAACATCCGCGTCGACATCTCTGAGTAG